ACCGCCTGGTCCTTTCCTATGTGAGACATACTTATAGGATCGAGTCCTGTCCCGGGGACTCGGCCGGGGACTGGTCCAGGGACTGGCCTGGTTAGGCAGTACACCCCTCTTGGCCTTCGGTCGCGCTCATCAGGCGATGTGGGTGGTCCATTTTGGAGCCTGTATGTCGCACTGTCCCCAGGAACGACGTAGCCAAGCTGTGGGCCTGTCCCGGGGATTGAGGCCCAAGTGTTAAGGGTGATTCACCTGCCAATTTGGCTGGGGACTCCAGTCCTTATCAACTATCATTCTCGCTAACTATAGCCCTTTGCCTCAAGGCCTGCCCCCACCATCAGAGGGGCTTTGCTTAATAGAAATCAGATGGGTCTCAATGAGAAGACCCACGGGTTTTGTATGGAGCTGCATCAGTCAGCGCCACCCATTGCATGGCCTCGTTCTGTCGAACCTGTATTTGGTGATTGGACAAGTCCACATCAGTGACCACGAAAGGTCCTTCGGCTTCAACATCTAGCCGGTTCAGTTTGCGTTTCCGAACGAGCACCAACTCGCCCACTCTGGCTTCTCGTCTCCCACCTTTGCGAAAGTGTGCTAATTGCTGTCTGGCTTGGGCCTTGCCAATGTTGGCTTTGGCCGTCTTAGTGAAGCTTTCCAACTGGCTTCTGGCCAGAATTAGTTCCTCGACAGCTGAGGGAGCTGTGTGCATTGAATCCGAGTCAATAATCAATTTTGGTTGTCGCCCAAAAGCAAGTTCGTAAGGGAACAACCCAGTGCTGCTCTGTCGAGTCGTTCGCAAACTTCTGGCCACCTGTTGGATCACTTGATCCCACGTTTGGCGGTGATCACAGTCCATCAGGAGGGCCTGAACACGCCTCTCAATTGTTTGATTGCACCGTTCAACCAAGCCGTTGCTGCGTGGCCAGCGAGGGCGTGCCTTTCTGTGCCGAATGGAATATGCTTTAAGTAACTTATGAAAGTCACCTGCAAATTCCGTCCCTTGGTCAGTTATGACCTCATCAGGATAAGGAAACCTGTTAAGCACATTGTCCTCCATCCAACAGGCTAGGGCCTGTGATGTTCGGCATGGCAGTACGCCAACTTCCACCCACTTAGTAAAATAGTCAATGGCCACTACACAATACTTGGCCCAGGGGTGGTGTGGGAAGCCACAAATTAAATCAACACCCCATCTGCCAAACGCCCAAGATGGGGGCTGCTGCACTAAGGCTGGTGCCTCAAAGTATACGGGCGCGGCCTTTTGACATGTCCTGCATGAATTCACATGCATTTGCACCTCCTTATGTAAGTGTGGCCAGTAGTATTCTTTGGTAATGGCAGCTCGAGTTTTCTCGATGCCAACATGGCCGTTCTGTTCATGAAAATGTGTTAGTATGTTTCGCCTTTCCCTAAGGTGGGGAACCTTAACATGTTTTCCTCTTCTATGCACCCAGAGCGCACTATTTTCCCAAGCAAATCGCTTAGCTCGGCGACGAATTTGTTTCTTGTCTGCTGAGCTAGCATATACAGAAAAACTCTGGTGTTGTAGATACACTAGCATGGCTGAATCAGCCCAGGGATCTTGTGTCGATGAGACCCCTAAATCACCCTCCGTGGTGACGTCCTCCGGATCTGAATCCGGGCAAATTTCATTGTGCTCATCAGGGCCCTGAAAAGACATCTTTGACGCTCGAGGGGATAGTCTGGATAACGTTTCATTGGGTTGCACAGACTGGCTGGGCGAAAGCCCCATGTCCATACTCAAAGTTGCCCCTCTTACCAGCCAGGGTGTTAACTTAGCAAGCACCCATGTCTCCCCTATCTGATCAGGGACTATAATAACATTCCCCGAATCATCTAACAGGTCTGCCCCTGACAGGACAACCTTTTCTGGTTGTCTAGAGGTCGTAACACCTCTAATAGCTTTATCCCAATGCCGTTTGGGTGGCTGCAATGGGTTTGGTATCCATTTTTCTGTCAGCTCTCCCTTGGCATCATCACCTAATAGTTCTGCTTCAGTCCAGTCATTTTCTGACAGCTCATCATCCTCAACCCCCTCAAACCCCTGGTTTTCCTCCGAGAGGGGACCCATGCTCGGCCCAGCCCCTGACGGGGGCTGGCCAAGCATCTCAGTATTGGGATTCTGTGTCATTTTCCCTGGCCCTCCCTTCGGGCTCAGGGGCTGTGATGGGTAAACGTGATAGAGCGTCGACATTAGCGCTCTTTTTTCCAGGTCGGTACTCAACTGTAAAGTCGAAGGCTTGCAGCCTAAGAGACCACCTCAGAAGGTGTCCTGTCAGACCAGATGTTTTCATGAGCCACATAAGGGCTCTCTGATCCGTTTGGAGGACGAATTTGCGTCCGTACACATAAGGACGGAAGTACTCCACTCCCCATTGGGCAGCCAAGCATTCTCCTTCGACAGGAGCATAGTTTTGCTCGCTTGGGCTGTTTCGCCTGCTGGCATAGGCGATCACAACTTCACCATCTGCAGGCAGCCTCTGTCCTAAAATAGCCCCGATTGCCTCTTTTGACCAATCAGTTTGAATAATGAATCGTTGACTGAAATCTGGTGCCCTTAAGACTGGGGCACAGGTCAGTGAGGCTTTAAGGCTGCAAAATGCTTTGTCACATGAGTCATTCCATTCCCACACAGCGCCTTTCTTCAGCAGGCGTGTGAGTGGCGCAGAAATTCGTGCAAATCCCTCGATAAAGCGTCTGTAATATGATGCCAGCCCCAGAAAGGAGCGAATCTCCTTTACACAGCTTGGGGTGGGGACGGCTGCCACGGCTGCAACTTTCTTTGGATTAGGCTTTACCGTCTGTCCGCTCACCACATGGCCCAGATACAGCAATTCATCAAAGGCAAAATCAGATTTGGTTGGTGACACACGCAGCCCAACGTCACGCAACAGATCGATTACCTTGGAGAGCATCGTGAGGTGCTTTTCCCACTCCTTGGTGAACACAATGATGTCATCAAGGTATACAATGACGCAATCCCATAGCAGGTCCCCCAGAACCTCATCCATGAGCCTCTGAAAAATCGCTGGTGCCCGGGAAAGGCCAAAGGGCAATCTGGTAAATTCAAAGAGACCGAATTTAGTGATAAATGCAGTTTTTTCTGCATCTTCCGCTGAGAGGGGAATCTGCCAATAACCCGCTTTCAGGTCAAGGGCAGAAAAGTACAGAGCCCCTCCGAGGGCATCAAGTGCCTCGTCTATTCTTGGCAGCGGGTATACATCTTTTTTAGTAATAGCATTTAGCCGCCGGTAATCAATACAAAACCGGGGCGAGCCATCTGGTTTGGGCACCACCACAACGGGCGATGCCCAGGGGGATTTTGATTTTCGAATTATCCCCGCGTTTAGCATTTTCTCAATTTCCAGTCTAACCACTTCATTTTCCTGTGGAGAGAACCTATATGGCCTTTGTTTGATGGGGAGAGCCGTTCCCGTAGGGATACGGTTTTTCCCTGGCAGAGTCTCTCCTAGCTCTTAGAGATTCCATGCAAACGCATGATCTTTTGTCAGTAACAAGTCACGCAATTGTGCCCGCTGTGTTATGGATAGCTTTGCCCCCACCTTGAGCGTATTCATTCGCTCTTGAAGTGGTAATTTTGCGGGTTCTGGTTTGGACTCGTACTGAATGGCCTTTGCCAAAAATAGGCCGTCAGTCAGTCCATCTAGATCATCTTGTATTAAATGATATCCTGCCAGGACTTCGTTACCGTCCTGCAGTCCTGCCATGATGGCTGCCCAGCTGTTCACCAAACTTCCATAATATCGACCACCCACTTGTTTCTGGAGGTCTAGGATGATTTGTATCTGTTCCTTCTAAGTTGATATCGAACTCTGGATTCGTTACAGGTGAATCAGAGGGATCTGGAGCTGCCACACCCTCACAGGAGGGCTGTGCATCATTGTCTGGAAGTTCAACGATTTCAGGCCTATAGGGAGGCTCATTCTCATCCAGAACATTGAGGTGCTCATGATGAATCACAAGCTCTTCCTCTTGCACACGCCAGGACAGCATTTTCTGCCAAAAAGAATTACATTGAGGGCTGTTTACATTGTCCCAGATTGCATCCCAAAACTTTTCCAAGCACGAGGGAAGGACAGACTTCCCCTGGCAGCCCTTAGGGACCTCGACCGGGCTAGGGTCTGGTCGGGCCCCACCTAAAAATGTTCTTTCGGTCCCTCTTTCAGCAAGGTTGCAACCTGCTGAGCTAATGCAGCCACGTCAACGGGCTTGACTCCCTCCTGAATGGTTGAGGGCTGTCCGCCTGAGTGGGGTGGGGCTCTGCCAGCCATGGCATCCTCGGTATCCACCCAGGGCTTCACTGCCCGTTCAAAGGTGATGACACCAATCGTGGTCACACCTGCATCAAATTTGAAATCAGTGTTTCCATGATTCCAAAGGACAACACTGAGCTCAGACTTGTACTGAGCATCAAAGGCAATGGGTTCCACAATAATACGCCTTTCAATGGCGAGATCTGGAATCCCATACACCTTGGCCCAACAGGACCTGGGCGGGAAGAATTGATATCCCGTTGGTATGGCTGCAGTTTTCCCAGCTGGCAAAGTGCCCGACACAACTGCTTTTAACAGATAGCCTAGACCATCAGGTCTAAATTTAAATGGAGGCACTTCTGATCTGAGGCGTCTAACCAGCAATTGTGGGCTGTCAAAACGACCATTTCGGTCATTGCCTCTGCCCATATTACGATCATTTCGCTGGTTATTGGTCACTAGAGCCATGTTTTGAGGTGGGGACAGCCGCCAATCATTGTCCCACATGAAACATTCGTCAATGTTTTTAGGGGAAGCTGTATCAAAGTTGCATTCCTCTTCCCACATGCAACACAGCTCTACTGCAACATTGTGATCGCTGCCATGCTCATAAGATGCATGGTCCTTAAGAAACAACGCACTTTCACAAGGGAGCTGTGCCAGGGACTGATTGTCCTGTCCCCGGGACTGAACGGATGTGGGCTGGCTTACCGGCCACTCTTCCGTCTCCACCTTTGGCTCCAAGATCCATTGGGAAGGAGCAGCTTCCCCGGGCTTCGCTGCCGGCCAAGTCGGTTCAGTCCCGGGCCTGTCGAGCCACTCAGGCTCCCGGGAGTTGTACCACTGCCCATGCTCCCAGGAGATGCGGATGCAATGGGGACAATTCTCATGCCACAGCCGGTCGTCACCGCCATTGACAGGATTGTCATGGTCATGGCAGGTCCGCACAAAAGCCCTTTGTGGCCAGGGCCGATCAAGGGGACCCCATTCCCCAATGAATTGCTTGGTGGGCACAGGCGAGTAGCCAGCCGGGACGGGCACAAACAACGGAAAGGGGCCCGTGTTGAGCCGCATTTTCAGGGGGTCACGCCGGACCTGTGCGCACATAGACGTCATGCGCCCTCCCTTCCAATGCCATCCCCTTGATTGTGGGGATTCTGTGCAAGGCATGCATTCTGGACTACCATTCCCCCAACGGGGAAGTGCTGTCCCTAGTTTTGGGACTAGATGCTGTTCGCTAGAGGTAATGTTAGGGCCATTCTGACCATCCCGTCACGTTTGCCACAAGGTGGGTGGCGCCAGCCTCAACATGGGCGGCAGGGTACGAGTAGGCATCAATAGGTGTTGCACATGGGCTGGGGACTGGCTATTCCCCTTGGTCCTGCCTGACCATCCGATTACTTGATCAGTGGGCCACTGATGGTTTACTAGTGTCCGCGAATGGGTGAAACACTCTGGACCTTGTGGCCCAAAAACAAGTCGCCCCCAACCTTCAAGTGCTCGGGATACACCCAGCTTATGAATAGACAGATTGACACTCAGGCCCATGGCGCGACGCTGACAGAGATAGTGACGACAACCAACCCACGACCCCTGTGAGACAGCTGCAGATGTATGACGTGGCCGGGGACAGACAATAACGCTGTCCCCAGTCCAGGACCCCAATGCATGATCGCCGTACGTCATCCTCACGGTCCCCACGCCTGGGGACTGGTCGCCCCTATCCCACGGCCAAGCGTATGGACCGGGGACTGACGCGGGGACAGTTAACGCGCAATGGAACCGAGTCGCGGTCGTTGTACGGCCAGGCCACGCGACTGTCAACTTCAGAAAGCGCAATGGCGCGCTGGGGATACTCACTGCCTCGGGTCGCAGCGCGCTCACGCGGTCCGCGCGGTCTGCCTCCGTGTGATAGGAGCGCTGGATGTAGGGCGAGTCCGAGAGCTCTCCGCGCAGCTGCTCCAAGACCACGCGCTCCCTTTTCGTCAAGTCCATGAGGGCCTGGTACTGTCTCCGAAGTTCCGCCACCAGATCGAGCCAGTGCCCAAGGCGATCGACTGGGACGTAGTGCACCCCTGGGTTCCAAATCCCCGGGAGTTGCACCACGCCCGATCCCGGGCCAACGTAGACGGCGTCCTCCGGCACGTAGGGTTCCTGTCTGCACCAGATCAGTCCCACCAAAAGGTCCCTATGCGTGAACGGCTCCTCGTCCCCATGGGCCCCAGGAAACCGGCCCGTGAATACCAAGCCCGTTCGTTTGGCGATGTCGCGGTATATGCAGTATCGATGCATTCTCAGCGCCTCCAGCCCTGGCCGTCGGCAGTCGTAGAGTGGCTTGATCTCTCTCGGCGGAGGGCGGATCCACAACGGCGGAAGCCCCAAGGCCCGCGCATCCCTCTTAATGGGGAGCTTCGATCGCCCCCGTTCGGTAAGGTGCGAGTACTCCGGCGTGCCGAGCAGATCAATGCCTCTTTCGTCCGCCATGAGGACGTCGCAAAGGTTATAGCTCTGCGGGTCTAGCCAGGGCTCGGGGTCCAGCGCGACCAGTTGCACTTCCTCTCCGTCCGAGTCGATATAAATAGTCCCCCCCGAATCAGTCCCCGGGTCTGAGCTGGTTTCCCAATATTCGTCATTCAGTACGACAACTCCCTCCTCGTCCTGTACCGCCGCGGGGATAGTCACATGTTCCAGTCCCCGGGATTGGCCTGGGGACTGGTAAGGAACCAGCTCTGGGGCCGGGTCTGAATCAGGCGTGTCAGACCGGGGGACTACAGCCGGGGATCCCTGGGACCTGGCTGCTCTGTCCCCAGTTTTGGTCTTGATGACCTGTGGCTGTGTCAGCCATGGGGGCGGGGCCCCAGCACCCCAGGTACAGCTGATGGGGACTGACCCTACATGTCCACTTTGTTTTTGAAAGGTGAGTTGGTCCGTATTGAATCGAACCTCAGCCTTGGCGGGTTTTAACCAATTGACCGCCAACAGAAAATCGTATGTCCGAGTCTTGACCACATGGGCCTGCACCCTAAGAGACAGACCGCCAATTGTCACTTTCAAATTAGAGATAAATCCCTCGGGGATTTTCAATTGTCCATTGGCCAGTCGAAATCTGGCTACGGAGGGTCGTACTCTGTTCATAAGGCCCCATTCCTGAGCCCTGCGCCAAGCGAGGACACACTGTGTGGCACCCGTGTCCACTATAACCTGGACATGGTGTCCTTCAATCTTTCCGGGTGCAAAAGTCACAGTATTCGTGACCTCCTGGCTGGGCTGTCCGACGTCCTCAGCCTCAAGCAAAACATTGGCCTGTTCTTCCTCAGCCATCATGTCATCGTTAGGTGGTGGGACCTCAGGGATCTGAGGTACCTTTACTCCTTTCGGTTTACGGAGCATAACGTTGTTGTACATCTCCTCCCAGCACCTAGGGATGGACAGCAGATCACAAGTAGCTACAGTCTGGGTAGCGTTACTCACAAAGTGCCATGCACTCAGGGGGGCAGGCTTTGGGGCCTTGATGCCTCTCACAGCAACTACCCTTTTTCTAGGTTTGGCCGCGTCAGCCCCCTGGGTAGGTTGTGTCGGTGCGGGGTGACGGGAGGCAGCGGCTGCAGGTCCCCCTACTGATCCCGTTGATGGGGCCACGGGGTCCACCTTGGCAGGTGCCGTTTTCTGCTTACGAGCAGTGCGCCTGTGTCCCTCTCCAGCTGCCTGTTTGGCTGGGGGCAGGTCGCCTTCAGAGGCATTTCGCCCATGTTTAGCCATCAGAATTTCATCCAGGGAATCATCAGATTCAGCCTTATTCTCAGGCTGGTCAGACATTACGGCCCCCTGAGGGAACCTGTAGTCTAAATGATCCCAAACGTATGCTTGATCGTCTGGGATAGAGTCGTCAGGATCGCTGTATACCGGTGCACCGTTGAGAGCAATGACCTTCTCACGAGGTGACGGCTTGACAGCTGCATTCTAATCTCGGACGTCAGAAGTCGTCAGGGGCCCAGACCGGCCTGCGGCCTGACCGTCGGCCGTTTTAGCAGTCATGGCCAGATGAGCAGCTTCGTCAGCATCGGTATCAGAGCGAGGCTCGCTACAGTTGCGGGCCGTATGTCCGGCCTGGCAGCAGTTGGTGCAAAATTCTTCCTTTTTCTTTCTTTGCTTCTCCTTTTTCTTGTCCCTTTTTAGCACTTTGAGCACAGCGCTCTCCAAATTGGCAGCACGAGCCATACTGGCTCTAAGGGACTTGTTGTTGAGTTCTTCCTCTTCCTCGGAAGACGACTCATCCTCGGCCACCAAGGCCTTAGAGGTTTTGTCCTTAGATTTTGCCTTAGTCCGGCGCAGCCAGTCTTCCCTTTGGACACTCCGTTCCACTAAGTCGGACAGAGTGGCATCCTCCCCTATTCCCGAACCGACGAATTCAGCAATGTCCGTGGGGAGTCCGTCTAGATAGACGTCTATGTATTCTGTTGTCGAGATTGTGTGATTGGTCCCTTCGCTAATGCGCCTTCGTAGCGCCATCAGAGCGTCCGCGTAGTCCCTGACACGTTCGCCTTTCTTCATGCGATGGTTGCGAAACTGCCGGAGCATGTCACGGCTGGTTCCAAGGAACCGCTTACGAAACTCTTGGAGAAAGTCTTCCCAGCCCAGGACCGCAGGGGACGTTGCGCTCAAACCGTCAGGCAGGTCGGCGTTGGCTTCTCGCGCCTTGGCCTTGTGGCCGGCAAGGAGCTCTTCGGCCCAGGTTAGAGCCCGGCCATTGAGATGGCTAATGGCTCGACTGACCCTTTCCCCTTTTGGCCAGGCGCCGTTATCCGCGGTGCGAACTAATTGGGCCAGCCATCCCGCGGCCTCCGCAGGAGCTAGGCCGTCAAATTTGTCGAGACGAGGTGGTCGATAGAAACGGTCTGGATTGCGGGACCGATCTTGGCTGTCAGGGTCACTCTTGTTCAAAGTCGTATGGGACCCATTGTCCCGAGGAGCTTCAGCGCCCCCTGCGTCACCATTGGCCACTGGCGGGGCTGCCGCGGCGCCGTCATTCCCCACGATGTAGGGATTGACGGTCGTCCTGGGTGGCAAGCTCATCATCCTAGGCGGGTGTCCCCCATGGGGCGGTTGGCCGTTAGGCACGGTGCCCCCACCTGGGCTGGCATTCATGGGCATGGGTGGTGCAGCGGGTGGAACGGCTCCCCACCCCATACTGGGGGCTGGGATTCCAGCAGGCCTAGCATAGGGATCGAGTACCACTGGTGGATAGGAATATGGCAGCCCTGCCCCTCCCCACATAGCAGGTCCTTGTGGGCCCTGGGGCACGAATCCCCGCGTTGGAACTTGGGTCTGGGATACGGGTGGCAGTACGCCTGGCATTGTCCCCACAGTATGGCCGGAGCCCGGTGCGGCCGGGTACGGCGTGTTACTCACGCCCCACAGCCCCGGGGCCTGGGCGTGTGTCACATTCGGCATTACTTCCCCGTTTGGGAAGGTGGCTGTCCCCGGTCCTACATTTGTCCCCGGTCCTGGGGATCCGCGCACAGGCCGCGGGACTTGGCCTGGGACTGCGAGCACACCGCCTTGCGACCTTACGGGGTCAGGCGGGTTCCGACCACGTAGGCCCACTTCGTCAAGGGGAAGCCCTGGAGGCCATTCGGCCATTTCCATGCTCCTCGGAGGATGCCATGGAGGGGGAAGGCCGGCTGGAGGTGCTGGACGAGGCGCCGATGCGGCTGCCCCGACGGGTCCCGTGGGGACGTTGATCTCCATAGTGAGCTCCTCCTCGTAGCCCAGGGACCGAAGCGTCCCAATTATGGAGCGCACTTGGGTTACCATCCGAGCGCGGGCGGCCGGAGTGCCCGCGCGCTCAAGTTCGGTCCGATGCTCCTCAAGATATCGCTCACTTTGAGCGAGCCATTGTGAGGCGTCCATAAATTGTTCCGCAGCCCGCTGCCCCGTGGGCTCGGGGCCGCTAATTTCCGGCAGGGGGATGTCCCCAAGAGGAACGCGGCCTTCGCCGGATGGTCCGGCAGGCAGATCATGGCCGGGGACCACCGGGGGCGCTGCATTCTCGTCATTTGTATGCGCCCCATCAGGTCGTGGCGTGACATTGCCGGTCCCACTGCCGACCTGGCTTGGCGGGACGGGCGGCAAGCCCTCTCCGAGCGACGGGGATTCCCGTCCTGCACCGCTCATGGTGCGGCTTGCGAACTTGTCGCAAGCTTGTTAGTCAATCGATGGAGCAGTCGGCTCCGTTTCAACTCCCCAGGCCCAGCGGAGCCTCGTATAATCGAGGAACCGTCCTGTAGCTCCGAAACCAACCCACGTACCTTAGCCGCCAAACGGATGCAGACCAGGCCTGTCCTGCTGCAGAGCCGTAATTGCCGGACCAGCCTTCACAACGTGCTGGTGGGCACCAAATGCGGTCCCAATTGTTGGGAAACACCGCGGTCGCCTCCTTCCCCGCAGGCGAAACGGGATGCGGCACAGACACACACACACACACACACACACACACACACTGTCCGCGGACAGTCCGGAATCAGAGTCACAAGCACAGCAGCGATGGTGGGCCCAGAAAGAGTTGTTACAAGAATGTTCTGCGCGTATTTATACTCGAAAAAGGGTGTCCCAGTCCCCAGTCCTAGCCACCGTTCGAGAAGCCTCCCGAGCTGCAATCCCCCGTACAGACCCCCCTGATCTTGTCCCCAAACGTCTCAAGTTCTCCAACACCGGTTCCCAGCCTGGTACAACCTATCATACACTCCATACAACCGGCTCAATTCAGTCCCCAGCAAGTGATTCCAGTCCCATGCAATCATGCTCAGTTCTAAGTACGTCCCTCCATGACGATCCAGTACTCAAATCAATCATAGCAGTAAAACACGATGAAGTCGGAATACCCGCTGGTGCATTCCTTAGTCCCAGCCTTGACACTCCATCAAAACGAACGTACACAACTAAAATGGCTTACTGATGACGAATTCCCGGCTCAGTTCTCCACTCCCGGCTCAGCTCTCCATTCCCGGCTCAGCTCTCCATTCCCGGCTCATTTTCATGTAAGGGGGTCGTACATTGGGGCTTGCGGCAAGGGCAGCTCTCTTCAGGTGGACTCCTGGACAATGCAATGGAACAGGACAATTAGTACGCCTTTAATGTACTAATTCTGGGCCGTGCTCAGCAACTCAAGCAAGGTTGCAGCAGATCAGATCAACCAATCAAACAACTAATAGTACACAACCTCAACCTGGTCATCTCAGTAGGGGTACTTAGAAAATCGCCACACTACCCTCTCCGATCGACCCCTGCTCATCACACGTCTTCCCCAACATCGAAAAATATTGTGGGCCAGAATGAGCCAACAATGCGCACCACAAACCCGAACTCACACCAGCGTGAAACCCGCTACCGGCTTCCAGCCAATTGCTGATGGCACCACTACCGAGCACGGGGGCCGCACAGGGCACAGCATGCAGCACAGCAATCCCAGCCCGACTCCCCGGCCGACTCCCCGCGGCGGGAACTGCCCGCCAGCAACCACCTCGTCCCATCGGCTGTACACGTCCCGAACTACAGGCCACTTCCAACGACCCCGGTGCGTCCCCGGCGACCGGCCCGTCGAAGCCGGAGTGCTGTTGCTGCGCACCATGTCGCCTTTTCGACACTTCCCCAGACCCCATCCGGTACACGTCTTCCCGACACGTGTGCCAGCGTCCGTGCCCCGCACGGAAGGCCGCTCGAGAAGGCCTCGCGGGCCAACCGACCGGGGGTGCAAAACGCGCGGCCGAGGCCTGACGCGCCTGCCTGCCCCTCCCGCAACTGCCACGCGCTTGTTGGAGCCGCGGAGATGGCCCGCAGGGCGAAGGCGGTGCGTGGGATGGCGGGGTGTGGCGGGGGAACGGCGTGCGAGTCGGTTGGCGGGGCTTTGTGGACGATTGCCTTGCGGCGGTGGGCGATCGGGGCTTTTCTTTGCGCTAGGGAGGGATTGGGGCATCGCCGTGCATGGCGGCCGGAAAGAGAACTTGCTTCCGGGATCCGGCGACGCTGGGCGGAAGCCGGCGGCTTGGGGGCTTTGATTGATGACCTCTTTGGCGCCGCGTCCCGGCCTTTGTGGCCTGTCCGGAGACGGGTGTCAATTGGCTGACTCAGATGCTCCGCGTGGCGTTTGCAACAGCGGACGCGCGCTGGCTGCGATGTCTTCTGCGGAAGACGGGCTGTGATCGCGAATGGTTGTGACCAAGCGCTGACGTGCTTGTTGCCCCTGCGTTGCCGCTGCTGGCGGAGGTGCGCCTCGGGCTAAAGCCCAAGCAACCGCGGGATGGTGTCGACATGCGCAAGCAACTAGTAATGTGTCGAGAGTGAAGACGACCAGAGAGCCGAACAACCAAACTGCTCAGTGCTGTATGGCAAAGCTTGTACCGAAAAACCGGAAGCAACACCGCAAGGGGGGGGATTGTCGATGCTTGTAGGCCAATTCTTACGTACCACCATCACGCTCGGCAGCGGTATCCACAGTATGTGACGCCCAGGCAGTGCCAACCCTGAAAGAATACATTTTCGGAAGTCGCAGATCTGGAAACCATGTTGTTACAAGTTGCCTGTCCTTGCAGGGTTTCGAACTTCTGAGGGATCTGGAGGAAGACTCGGAAGAGGACGAGATTTCGGAGAGCCTTCGCACGCAAGAGGTCTGTGTTGCGGTTAAGAGGAAGGTGTCGTCCAAGGACATCTGTTTGCACCACAACACAGAACCTGACATTCATGACAGGCGTCCTTATGGGCAGCATTTACGCTGCTTGCAGAGTCAGCTTTATCGAGGGTCGAAGCATGCTGGAAACTGAAATAGTCGCCCCCGTACCTCCATACTCGTACTCCCAGTGCCTCCATCGTTGTTTGCCCTCCTGTTCACTCCCAGCAATTACCACATTTTCGTGGACCAAGGCTAGCATTACTGCTAGAGAGTTCGCTTTCCAGATTAGCAACTGTGCTGCTCCTGCTGTTCCCAATGTTCGCAAAGTCCTCAATTGCCTTCATGACTGCTTGTTGATTATTGTGGTTTGTGATTTTGTGCTTTCCGATGTTTTAACACAGGAAAACACAGAAGACAAAGTACAGACCAGTGCTCAGAGGCAGTGGGTGGACGATGACACCAATTCAGGGTGGCAAACAGTGGCTGCAAACAAAAATGACGTCCTGTGTAGATTCTTTGCAAGTGGCCAGTGCACAAAAGGCAGCGCCTGCAATTTTGTGCATGTGAGGAAACCTGTGCCACCGCAGCGTCCACCAGCTGATGTGTCAACGGTGAGCACTAAAGCCCCTGCTGAGTGCTTGTCTTGCATTGATGTTATTGATCTGGTCGGAGTTTCTTGATCTTCAATCCTGATGCCTAGTAAACAAGCTGGAATCGCTGTTCCTGCACACCCATTGGAAACAATCTTGCGCCGTTTTGCACACGCACCTGTGGTCGATGTAAATGCCTGGCTGCAATAACTGTAAAATACTCAACCCATACGCATTTGAAATTTAAGCATCACGATGTTGCTCCGCAATTTTTCGACACAACGTTATTTTGGGGGTCTCTGCAGCATGGTCACAGCCTGAACGGCACCTTTTCTCTGCTCACATGGCCTTAAGTGCTGGTTTTCTGCCACAGCGACTCGTGCACACTGGGCTGCTGGACGCCACGAGCACTCCAGAAACCCTTGCGTTGCAGCTGGGGTTGCTTCATATGTTTTTGCACCGTGATGTTTCCATTCTTGCTCCCCATAGAAAGGGCAACCGTTACGTTGCAGTGCAGGAGGGTATATTCTACTATGGTACCCATCAGATTCATGATATTGCTCTTTGGCTCCAGCAAGCTGTCTTGCATTCATTTTCTGAATATCTTTTGAACAGCTGACTTTGCACCCCGGCACAGCCCTGTACATGACATCTGAATAATCAGGGTGTCAACAGGAAGAATGCACAATACTTTTGTTGGTGGCATCCTGTTATGGTTCAGGCTTTATGATCTCAGGTTAGATGAAAATGTGAATGATGAGAACGCAACCAACTTCAAAGCCTTTGTTGTAAGTGGGTTGAGTAGTGCAACAGAAATATGGATCTTCAGACACAGTGATCATCAAATTCAGTTTGTGAGTGTATAAGGTTGAGTTCCACATGGTACTGCAGGGGATATGTGTTACTTTGTCACAACATTGATTCCATCCTTTGCTGCCTTTCTGGGCCAAGTGTGGACAAACTGCTATTGTTTCACTTGAGCTTTTGACACACACGTCCTGTTTTCCCCAGACTGGGAAGGATAGAGTTCCCTCATCTTCCAAAGCGAGTGGATCGGGGATTAATCACGCTTTGTACAAAACTGAGCTTTGTATACATTATAATGCTGGATACTGTCCTCATGCGCATAAATGCTGCTTTGCTCATGGTAAACATGAGCTCCGACCAAGAGCGAATGCTCACAACAAGGTAGGACACAAGCCACATGCCTTGTGGTTATGGCATGATCGCAGGCAATGCTACTGGTTGGTCTTTGAGTGCCGATGCAGATCGGATTGCAGTGCTGTTACAGGTAGAGAATACACACAGCTTGCAAAGGGATTAATCCATGCTAGTTAATGGAGACATGTGGAGACACAAGTTCAGTGCTGACTGTTGTGTATGTTGAATGTTTCGGCCGTCTCATGAAATTCTCAAATGTACCCACTTGTGTACAACGCAGAACTGTTGATCCTCAGCTCAATCCCAAAATCTTCAGCTTCTTCACCCCAAACCTGGGAAGCAGAGAAATGCGAAGGGATCTCACAGTGGCATGTTGTTCCATTTGCTCAAACAGCTGCCAGCCATGCCATTCGCAACCTGCCTGGATGCAGTTCCTGCCCATTGGAGTTGAACATGCTGCATTCCGTTTCGAGATGGCTCCTGACAGAGTCCCAACTGAGCACTTGTGTATGCTATTCCTTGTGCAGTCGGAGGTTTTCACTTGCACTTTCACTGCTTGCACTGCAGCGTTGGAAATAGAATAACTGGAGCCTCGCTCTGGGTTGGGATATCAGCTGTTGGACTTGTTTCACTACGTGCTGACAAAGCTGTCCTTGGCACCCACAGGTTGCAGCAAAGAGCACTGACAAGCCGAATCCAAAGGCCAGCAGTGCCCCGCCAGGCTTCCCAGCAAGAGATTCGCCTGAATTCACAACTTATTTGCAGTCTCTGGTCAGAGAATTTCAGCATGCTCAGAACCTGTACCTTGTGAGGGACTATGACCTCGCTTGGAAGGCCCAGGAGGGGGTTCGCCTTGAGATGGCAGCCAAGAAGTTTGCGACCTCCCCCGCAGCGGCAGCAAAGATTGCCGCACTACAAGAGCAGCTGGATGGACTGTGCGCGAAAATCTCACAGGTGCGCAGGCTTCTCAAAACATCAGGTTGCGAATGGCAAAGGTATTCAGTGGCCTGTTAGCTCTTCCTCGTGTGCAACATGCCTGCACAAATAGAAGGAAACACATCTTGAGCAGGGAACCATCGATAGACGTCTTGCTTCTGCATTTAGCTGCATTCACTTCAAGAAGCTGGCTGCTTTGGTGCAGGCAAGGCAAGCTGAACTGGAACGCAAGCAAAGGGAAGCTGAAGAACAAAAGAGACAGGCAGAAAGAGAGGCGCATGAGCAACGACAGCAGCTCTATCAGGTTTGGCTGGGACGTTGCAACTGACTGGATACTTGGGAGCTCTGCTGCCTTTCGTAGATATCAAAAGTGGGGACCACTGTTGCATTTGTCTGTGCACCAAACCCCATATGCTCAAGCCAGGTACATGATTGCACTTCAACTGGTTTCAGAAACTAGTAGTCTACAGGTACAGAGGATTGTTCCTGTGGAGCTAGGATTTTGTCACTTCATGGTGGTATAGTGACTCTCTTGAGATGATCAATGATACATGGCACCGTCCACTGAAGATATAATGCATTACTCAACAAGTAGGCCAGTTGTCGTTATCCCTATTAATCTGTCTTCCTGGATGCACCTGGATGTCATCAATCTGCCCTGAGCGTGCCGCTGTTGCTGGCTGTGTACCCTTTCTCCCAACGTTGAGCATCAAGGCTGATGTCGAGAACGTGGGGGCCAGTATCTTGCGTAGCCCTGCACTATCTTACGTGCCTCTTGTGTTCTGCACCAAGTCGATGAATCAATACCGCCCCTGTGTTGTGACATTGCCACCAAACAAATTTAACACATCAAATACCAGTCTAAAATAGGAAGTCAATCACAGTGAAGTTGGCAGAACATTACCATAACAGTTTTGCAACTAACTGCACTGTGTTGCTGCATCTTTTGATAGTGCGCAAGGATGTCCCATCATGGGGGATGCTACCCCCGCGCTATCTACCATAACCCCCGCACTCTGAAGCACTGGCCATGCTCGATATTGCGTGGAGCGTTATCTAAGGGCCCCACACTATTCAACACCCCCGCACCTTCTTGATCTACAGTATGCACTTAATAGACTTGAATAGCAGAACAGGATACACTGGCAGAGATGCCAACTTTGGACCACAGTTCTCAAGCATTCCGGCAACACCTCTGCAATGCTGTGAGCTGCATTGAAGTTCAGGCTTTGTGGGAATTATGGGCTGCGACCCTGCTTGAAACCTATGCGTATATTGCTGTTGTGACCATATGCATTAAATTTGTATATCGCCTGGTGTTTCTGTCACGGCAGATCTGTGTGAAAGCAGCACAGGATGGCGATGCCAAGACACTAAATGCTCTCATCCCTCTTTTAGTGCCTTCCTTGGCGCGCCTTGAATTGGTCACTTTGACCTGGCTTTCGGCGACTGTGGCACTTTCAATGGAGTCCTTGGAGGTGAAGATCACACATCAGCATCAACCTTGGGACAGTATTTGTACTCATTGGCACTGTAGCTTTTGGCTGACAACTGCAGTGTGTTTGAAACTGCCATCTTGTGAGCAGTTTGTTTTCTGGATTAGGATATGCTGACTGCAAACAAGGCAACAATGGAGATTACCTTATTTTTCAGCAAAAAGGAGAGCACGATACAAATTTGGGGGCCTAATCCTGGGCTCTTGTAGCCATTTAGTGTTGCTCAGCATAGTCCTGGCATTAGGCTGCAGGATGCCTTTGGGAACATTCAAAGTAGAATCTGCTACTCACTGCAGCTCATCCTGTGAATTGTTAGAACTGTGTGTGCATATGGGCTGATGGACAATGGCAAACCATTGAAGCTTTGGGGGTTCTGTGGTGGCCTGGGCTGCGCTTGCTTTCAACTGTTCAGGATACTAAAAATTGTGGGGGTTGGTTTACCAATGTGCAGCAATGTGGAACTGAGCAATTCCTGCCATTAATCAGCTGTCATTAAGAGGAGCTCTTCCCCATGAAGTATTGTAGCAATTCCTTACGACCCTTGTGTTGTCCAATTTGCCACAGGTGATGGTGAAGCACTGGGAAGATACAGAATGGGCTTGTATGGTGGTTAGCACAGGAGGACTGGAAAAGGCAGTCCTTCATGAAGTCATACAAAAGAGTGCCCAGCGGCCAGAGCTGTCTTCTAGTGCCTTGGGTAAGATTGCCATTGCTCTGCAACAAGGATTTCATAGTCTTCTTTGCAGTACATGGAAGGAAATGTTGTGCCTGTGTGTCCAGTTGTAACTTTGTGGAAGATGAACGAACCGAAAGTGGATCAAGACCTTTGAGAAGCCAGCCACCCTGCCGCCAAGTAATTGCCACTGCTGATAGATAATTTTGATAGATTCTGGTTGTCTGCAGGACATGCTGAAGGTAGTGTACCAGCATATTGGTCTGAAGTGCTGCTGGCCTTGTTGTTGCAAAGAGCAATTCCCCATTATCAGCATTATGTCACCACAATGGGAAAAAAGGAAGTGTGACAGCTAGCGGACTGTTTGCGTGTTTATACTGTTCTTGTAAATGACGCTGCTTTTTGGTTGTTGTCAGTAACAGTCCCTGGTGGTATTGCCAAGGAGACATTTACTCAGATAGAGATATAGTTGTGACACACAGCATCCATACAAGATGGACGTGCTTATACTTGAAGAGTTGACTTAAGAAATGTGTGTGGGTACACCTCACTCAAGTCAAAGCAGTGGCGTTGCAGGTGTAGCAAAGCTCATCTTGAGGCATAGACCAGACACAGTGTGGGACAAATGGGATCACAAGCTCCCCTTGACAGTGGCCATCGAGAATAGCCTTGTGAGCTTGGATATGGTGCTGCTTCTCTGTCCAGAGAACAAACCTGCTCTTCTGGAGGTGAGTTGGTGGCTATCTGTACTTGTGGGCTGTGCTTGTTGCGCAGATGCACTCGTGATCGTGGACGTCAACGTTTGCAAGTGTCCACAAGCCTTCGATTCTCTGACTCCAACAGCACATGTTGTTCTGGCCTCCATGACGCAATGTGTTGATGACAATTTATGGATTGCATGGCACTGTTTTGCTCCAAATATCTTCCAATCCCTTTTCAAAATCGCAGAAAGTACGCGCCCTAAACATGTTGCCAGAATGGTGCTGCAAATTTGGTAATGGTAGGCTGCGCTTTCTTGGTTGTTCACTCTCGCAGTGATACATTGTCCTGTCATAATGCAGTGCTATTCTGCACCAAAAAGTAATAGTGGTCTGCATTTTTGATGTGGCGATTCTGAAGCAAATTTAAGGAGCAGCAATGTGCATCTGAAGGGTGAAAGGCTTGTATTTCTGATGCATGGCAGAGGCAGAGATTGCCCAACAACTCTTCATGCTGAGTGTCAGGTTCTCATTTTGGTGCTTGTCTTTGATTCGTAGGAGAGATGTGGTTTTCCACTGCGGACAGCGTTTGAGTTAGCACAGTATATATCTTCTGATTCTGGGCGCCAGCAGCATGAGAGGGATAGAGCCCAAGCCATTTATAGAGAGCTACAAAGGATAAGGTGCAAGGAAATGTCAGTTGCATTGCTAAGGTTGCAGCGACAGTGTCTGTCTTGAATTTATCGTTTCAGTGAGCAGCTCCTCCAACCCGCTTCCAGTGCTGCAGTGCCACTGCACATTCTTGCATTGACACAGATACGGCTATTCCTCTGGCAGAATGATTCCCCATCCAATGTGCTGTTGCTGCTTGTTCTGATGGGTTTGGCTACGCATCTTTGTGCTACGCTTGATGTGCATACAAGCCATGCAGGGGACACATGTGTGGATGCTCAATGCGAAGTGTGAAGAACACCTGTTCAGTTCGGTACAGTTTGCATCATGCAGGATCAACAGGATCGTTATTGTTTTCTCTCCCCTGCCAGTGCCAAGGGTTTTCTGAGGTCTTGTACTGCTGTGGGTGAATTCAGGCCTGCCATGCCACCCATGCTGCCAACCACAGCAGGCAGTACAAACCTTGAAGTTCTGGAGCCACAAAGACGGTGAGCAGTTCACAAGAAAGTTCTTTCATGGTATCAGCTATGGAGCAGATGTACTGTTCAAGTAGTCGGGATTGCATATATTGTTGGTGTTTGCACTTGTGACCACATCTTGCCACTATTGCAGCACAGTATGTAGTGTGCCGTCAATTGATAGCTGGAACTTTATTGTTCATGTGCCAGCAGTGAGGACCACTGAACAGTGCAAAGAGAAATATACAGGCATTGTTTCAACCATGTACTTAGAGTTGCTATGTAGATTGGTGCAGCACAGTAGCGCCCAATAGACTGGAGACAGGAATTATGCAGCCCGCATTTTAAAGCCACTCGAAACACAGATTCATTTGGTGTTGCAGAACGTAACTAAGCAGTGCGTTGATCGTTTTAGGCAGAAAGGAAAGAGGGACAGCCTTCCTCCTGTGCAGAGTCGGGAAGAACGAAAAGAGATGAGGCAAACAGCAGGATCTCTTGAAGCTGAAGTTGAAAAAATAAGGCAGAATGAGAGGTAGGTTCTGCATTTTAGATATGGTGTTATGTTAATTTCCTTGCCCATGTGGTTGCCGATGCCTTGCTGTTGTTCTGCACTATCTGATGTACCAAAGTCAGAGTGAGATAATTGGATTGCCAGCAGATGGTGTGACAACAAAACAGGCAGAATTCCAACATGCAGTCCAGAACACCTACCTCTAAAGTATGTTGTTGAGTACGAGCATCGCTGGCCTCAACACTGCAGCACACCAGAATCAGAGCTGCAGAGTCGTGCACAGCACACTGGCACTTATCTGCACCAAGAGGAAATTGCTGGATGGCACATATTCATCAGCTTGCCTTGGCCTGCTGCTAACTGGAAACATCGACGCTTGGTCTTTATTGGCATTCCAGGATCGCGGCGTCGGCCAGGTGGGCGAATTCCCTCCAGAAGAGCTGCAGAGAAGGGAATTTTGAAGATGCTGAGAAGGCCCTTCTGGAACTTGAAGATCTGAAAGTATTGGAACACAGTTTAACTGGTGATTCCAAGAGCTTTGAAGGATACATACAAACCTGCATGTGGGAGGCTGCTGTTGAAGGTTCGTTGTCATTCAGACTGTGTGGATGGGAGTTGGGTTCTGCACTGAGCTGTGATACAATACATTTGTAGGGAATGACTCAAATCACACAGGAAGTCAGGCATCACACCATTGAGTCTGTGCATCGAGCGGAACAACGTATATGTGGCAAATACATATCTGAGCCCTTATTTTTATTTACAGCCCGAGAACTCTTTGATGTAAATGATACCGTTCTTGTGAGAATTTCCCAATGTGTGTCATAGACTGCTTGGCAACATTTTTTAATTCTGCCAGTTGCGACCATAAGACCTTACAATATTGTTTCAATGGGACGATTGGTATTCTTGCCATTTGAGCCTTGTGAAACTTGGACAGCTCAGATTGAGACAGTTAACATACTAGCAGAATTTACCCGTTCTCATATGCTGCAAAGCTGGGGCATGTTTTCACAACAGTTTGCGAAGGGACAGAGTTTGATGGCTAATGTGCTTGTGCAAGGGGACAATGAGGACATTGTGGACTTGCTGAGCAAAAAATGCGGCTCAACGCCCTGGTATGGGTTGCATGCAACTGCAAGCATCATCGAAGTTCTCATCAGGTGATTCTTGACGCCACTGAGTTAGCGACGCTTGGAAATAGCAGAAGCTCAGCAATCCAAGACACAAGCTGAGTTCATGATCTGTGCTGGACATTGATGTGTGTGGCTGTGCTGAGGAAGTTCCTACAACCAGGCCAATTGGTATTTCCATGAGTGAGTGAGGAAGGAAATTGAGCTTGATGGACTGAAAATTGTGGTGCCTACAAGGACATTTCACTTGTGTTCGGGTTGCCTTGCATTTCAATGTGTCCATGTCCTTGCATGCAACAAGGCTGTGTTGGGCACAGAGGCAGATTTTCTAATGCGACTGGAGCTTGCCAATGGATCTCAAAAAGCCAGGTCCGTCATATAAAAATACTACAATCCCGGTGGCAGATTGATGACGGGGTCTCCGCGACCCAATGTACAAGCACACGAACTTTGCTTGGAACCTCGATCAATCAATACTCAAAGAATCAAAGAATCTATCCATCATTCAATCCTATGGTCCATCTGTCCGTTTGCCCATTCATCCATCCATTTACGCAAACATCCTCTTGCAAGAACAACCTGATACAATGAGGGCAGCAATCAAGGTGCACCTGGGTCTCCGGAATGTGATTCACAGTGCTGGTGATTGATGGTGATGATGATAATAATAATAATAATAATAAAATATAAAAATATACGAATATATAAATATATAAATAGAAATAAATAAATAAATAAATACAAATAAGCAATATATATATATATATGCTTATTTATATATATATATATATATATATATATATATATATATATATATATATATATATATATATATATAAAGAAAACACAATCCACAATCTAAATGTCCTATTGTCAGCAGCACTCTACATATATTTGACACGCTTCGTTTGTTTGTACGACAGGCGGCAAAGGTTTCGACTGGCAGGCAAAGCTGTGGATGCAGTTGCCAAGCATGCAAATGGGCTGCTGGGTAACTACCTCCGCACCTTACCGGCAAATCCTCTTGTGCTGGCACTGAGTAATGAAGCGCCGTTGGAGTTCCTGGAGACCCTGATACCAGCAATGAAAATTTGTGGGTGCAATGTGGAGGAAGATGTTCAGGGTGAAACACCGCTCATGGCTGCCTTGAAGTCAGAAGACCTGACCAAAATCAGGCTGGTGAGTTCCTGCCTGTGTCAGCAACACGGTGGGCATGAATTATCTCTGGCATTTTTTGGTAGTTATGCCCTCGATTTTAAGCCATTGGATCGTGCTATCTGTGGTACTTGTTCTGTGCTTGCCAGCTCAAGAATATACAAAAACATGTGAGAAATGGCCACAAATAGAGGCCTGCTGACTTGGTGCCAAATACAGTTGAGTATGGACATGAATGTTCAGAAGGCAATTTGGAACATTTGTGGTGTTCATTCTGTTGCTCAAAATGATTTTCTGGCAAGCAGAATTCAAAGTACAAAAGAGAGCGAGAGGTATCCTGGCACCTTGGCAGGCAACGACGAACATGCACACAACCAAAAACGCTGCTGATGACAAGTGAATTCCCACGTTGCGAGCGAAGTGGTCAAGGGCTGTCAGTGATAGGTGTCTCTTTGCTGCAGGTGATGCAGCACTCCACGATCACCAGAAAATTCAAGGACAGTGTGGAGATGACAGCCATCTTTTACTGTGTCGGTCTGCGCTCAGAAGCCATATTGAAATGCGTTCTGGAAAGGCTTCAAGAAGAGAAGCCTGACCAAATGGAATTCGTCAGCTTTGTTGACACTGTATGCCGAGGCATGACTGCTCTCTTCAGAGTAAGGAGCCTGAACCTGTTTCATTGTGGACCACCAACAGCGCTGCTCAGCATCGAGTTGGCGTTCACCTGAGAGCTCGATTTGAGAGCTTGCTGAACTATTCATGCAAAAGTGCTCCTTTAGTGCTGTGGTCCACTGTGCAAGAGTGGTCATCGACTGCTCAGCTAATGTTGTTGGTTTCGTGCTTAAAACTGCATACTCAGAGTAATCCACACTTGAAATCCACAATACTATCTTGCGAACAGTTCCCTGGGTTGGGAATTGCTCGATGGTTAACCTGAGCAAACCTTGCTATTGCACTCAGTCATGATGACTGTGAAATTGTTGGCTTACTGCTTTCTGCAGCAGTAACTCACACAACAGGCAAAGGATATCCATTTTGGACAACCATGCTGTCGTCACAATAATGCAATACCTGAAACAAATTGTGAATGTGACTGAAAGGACAGCTTAGCTAAGCTCTTGACCCTGTTCTCGACATGAACTCACAAGAGATGTCAGTGCTGTGTGGTCCAAGCCATAAAATTCACATTCAAGTCACGTTTTAGCAACTCAATTTACGTTGTTTTGCATGGTTGTCAGGCTTGCATTGCTCACAGCCTGTGTATTTCAATTCTGCACTTACTGTGATGCTGGACAGGCTGTTGAGCTGAATGATACTGGCATTGCCGGCATGCTTGTAGACTACAATGCCGACCCACTAAAGGACTGTCGGGCCAGTGGTGGAAGGTCCACACCAGTCACAACACCCATGCATTTGGCAACAGCAAGGAGTTTCAAGTCGTTGGTGGAAAAGATGCTGAGAAAGCTGCCCAGTACTGAACTGCTCAATTGCAAGACTGATGGCAAGGGTGCGAGATGCACTTGTCTTCTTCAACAACTTATGCAGCACAGATTGAGCTCTGTAGACACTCATGGCTGACAAATTTGTTTCCGTACTCTGAGTTTCATTTATTGTGCTGATTGCTAGCATTAGATGGGCTGCACTAGGAATGGCACAAGTCTAGGATGCTGAACCGTTCATTTGCTGGAGCCCATGGGTTGTCGGGAAATACCAACATTTCTAAGCCCATGTCTATATTCCACAAATGCTCAAGAATACCATGCTTGTGGCTGATGCAATTCCAGGTACATGTGTGAGCCGCTCTGAGCCACAGGCTCTCAGCTTCTTTGTCATAGGGGAATTCACTGTGGTTCAATATTCAGCCACCACAAGGAGGTGGTCCCTCCATGTTGTGTGGAGTGATTACTCGTCTCCCTCCTCAAATTGCTGTAGAACAAGGGCAGTAATACATAATGAAACCTTTTTCCAGTTGGTGTGGTGAGGAGGAAATGATTTCGCTTGAAATTTTGGTGGCACATGGTGGCAGGCAACACACTTCTGCACATTGCCCTCCAAAAGGGGGCTGTCCAAATGGCAAAGCTCCTGCTCAATGAGGGGGCCAGCCTGATGCCACTGAATGCAGAATCTGAATCGCCTCTTCTGCTGGCAATCGAGAACCACAAGAAATGGGAGGCACGCTGCGGCAAGGCAGTGGAGAAATTCATGCACAGTCTGCTGCAGACTTGGCAACCTGTGGTAAGTCGTGCTATTGATGTCCACTTGGGCATTTTGGGCTCATGGCAAGTGCCGAACAGAGTGTGGGTGACCTGGAGTCCGTTCTGACCACCAGGGCCCTTGCATTTCATATGCATTGTCGAATGTTATGCCTGCAAAGCATCTGTTTTGCTGCTGCCATTGCTCATCTCACTCCGCTCCAGCCATCTCAAGCACACACAAACAGTGGTCACCTGCCAAGTGGGCGGGCAGACAGTCAGTTTGGAATTTGTTTTTGAGTTTCCTGTCGTGCACACAACAAGTCAAATTGAGCACAACTGTCAGGCGCTCAGCAATGCACTGCACCGAATTTTGACTTGGCCATGTCATACACCCCATGTGCTATGAATCGCCATTGTTGCTGACATCAACACAGGCATATTCCAGGCAGGAACTCACCAGCCTGATTTTGGTCAGGTCTTCTGCCTGTCCAAAAAATTCACAACACGGTCAGTGCGCCTTTCTGTGCTGACTTAGGACCTGGGAAGTGTCTTGGTCTCAGCTCAAAAGCAAGAGCGCCGGGACAACATCACAAGGTGGCTGCTTGAGAACCGAGGTCACACACTGGATCCACTTGTGCATGACAAGAAATTGCAGACTCAGGCATGCCAGGTGGCGATTCACCAAAAGAACTTCCCTGCTGTGGCGTTCCTTTTGGAGCATGTCAATGGTGAGTTCAATGCAAGATGTGGTCATTTAAATGTGCGGAAATCTGGTCTCTGGTAGACATGTAGGGAAGATCCTCTTGTCTGGGGGAATACAGGTAGTCGTCCCCAAGCAATTCGTGCTCAGAAACTGCCAACGATGCTGCCTGCAGAGATTCTGAGCATCTCAAAGAAATGATCACGAATGCTGAGCAAATTTACCAAACTCTATCGAAATAGCTTGGCTGCATGCGTGTGTTGCAAAAGGATGTTGGAGTAAATAGTTTGCATGCATTCAAACAACCTCAGCAAATCGACGGCTTTATTTCTTGGACACTCGCAAATTGAGAGATTCAGGCCTCGTGTGGTCGTGTTTGTGGCAACCTGTACACCTTGAACATGGTTTTAAAAAGCTGTTACTCTGGTGTCTCAGATTGCATCTGCAGGATTTGCACTCAGTCTGATGTTATCTTTTGAACGACAGCCCTGTTGTGATCACGCCCAATATTCACTTGGCTGTCAAGCATTTTGTGGCCAGAGAAATCCGGTCGCACTAAAGCCACAGTCAGGAACTCAGGCTTGGCTTTGGGGACATGTTCAGGATCTCCTTCAGTCTCAACATTGTTAGGTTTTGATGTTGCTAACTGCAGTGCTATTCCACAGACTATACAGCCATTGCTGGTGCGGTCATGTGGTTGTCAACAGAGGTTGCTACATGTCTTGCATCATGTGTGGAACGTGTCAAACGCTGCCTATGCGTGTTGATGTGGATGTGGGAAGTGGACCTACCAAATTGCAAATGTGTTTTCACCACCAAAACTGCCACTGGTCTGTGCATGTTTATTTGAAACTGCATGAAACCATATTGAAACATCCAATGATAAAAGTTCCTCTGGCAACAAAATGCTACCCAACCAATGGTCTACGGGCTGGGTTTCAGTGAGCGAACTCAACCAACAGCACTGCTGTGCTATAATTCTCAATGACTTGGTGTGTTTTCTTGTGTACACTGCATAAGTGTGGTTTGTGTGTTCAGGACTGGACATGACAGGAATGAATATTTATGACATCATCACGGTTGCTCCAATTCAGATGATTTCAGATCTGCTCGCGCGGGGTGCAGATAGTAACAGCCGAGATGCAGGAACTGGCAAGTTCCTCCTTCATGCAGCTGTGGAATCGGCAAACGAGGAACTGATCGATGTCCTCCTAGCAGCCAATGCGAATGCCAGCCTTCGGGAAGCCAATGGGAACACAATTCTTCACAGTGCAGCAAGGCTATCAGACCCGGACATGAGGAGAACATTGTGCCAGAAACTGGGGTCCAAATTTCCAGAGTTGTTAACTGCAGTGAACAATGACCTTGCCACACCAATGAAATATGCAAAATCCAAGAGCATAAAGCACTTTCTTCGCGATCTTGAAAGGAACAGAGGGGCTACAGGTGCGCATGTGGCTTGCTGAACCCCTTGTGTATTTTGTCAAGGTGTCCATCTTGTGTTCAACCACTTGAGTGGTGCGCACGCTCTGGTTTTCCATAATTAGTGAAGCGTCCATCTCAGGGTTGCCCAGGAAAGATGTCTGAGACCATGGTTTATTTGGCTTGGTGTTCCACTGACAGTTGCTGAAGACTGTGGAGGAAAACTCACTGCTCTGAATGGCTGTGGTTTTCAGGTAGTGACACCAGCGAGGTGGTCCCAGCAGCTGCTGCAAGCACAGACTCTGAAGCTAGTTGTCCAGATGTACCTTGCAGCAAACCACGCAGAAATGTGTCAAACCTCTCTCCGTCAATCACAGAGCATCTCTTGCCTCGATATGAAGATGATGCTGCAAGGCAAAAGAGATTGAGTTTGGCAATGGAGAGGGTGATCGAGCTGCACAGGCGGAGTATGCAGAAGGAGGATGACAACCATACCACTGGTGTTCCTTCCAAGAATGTAAGTGGCCCAGAGCTGGGGCCAGTTCCCCCTGAGGCTGCAGCTGCAGTCCTGGAAGATGTTCAAGCAAGAGATGTTGAAGAATTGGGGCCAGATGCATTGGCCAAGCTTCCATGGGAGTTTGAAATCACCAAAGAGGCCTACAGGGAGTGGGCATCAATGGACAGGTACCGTGTAATTTGTGGCCACTCAAGGGGTATCTCCCAATGTGGAGACTGTGGTTGTGTGCATGTCACAGTGTGGCCTGTGAATAGTGTGTGTGTTGTGTTGCATGGGTAGCATGGACTGACATACATAGGGAATGTTGTGCACAGGGTCACACGGCAAAACATCTTGAGGGCACTGCAGCGCATTGGGGTTGGTCACTGGGCCTTTGATGATGATACAAAAGGGTTGCAAGCTGGAGAGTCGGACTTGGGAACGCTGGAACTTTGGTGCACCCAGTTTGGCATGAGGGGCCGCATTGTGTTTGAGGTCTGTGTGGACTACAGTGAAGCCAATCGCGCCTGGACAGATATGCTGAGGATATGGGTGAGTGGCCATGCTGCACTGCACATATTTTGTACTTTGGGACCTCGGAAGTTGCAATTCTGTGCAGCTGCTTGAAGCAATGTTAGAGCACAATGTTCTGTAGGCTCACTTGTCTTGGGCAAGAAATGGTCATCGTTACGCATCCATTGCCTGATACACTGTTAGCACAGATGCCAACCTGGTGTTAATGCAGCACTCTCTTGATTTGGCAGACCATCACCCAAAGCCAAGAGGAGTATGAAAAGTGCCTGCAGAACATACATGCCAGTCATGAGCGCAGCTATCAGGTACTGCAAAAGTTGCAGCTGGAGCCCCTGAGGAACATAGGCAGGCAGTCCTGTGAGCAGGGCCAGCGGCTCCCCAACCAATATGACCACCGCCGCAGCACCGAAGAAGATGTGGGGCAGCCAAGCAAGTCCAATCAAATCAACTGGACGGAATACTGCCCTCCGGCAAGCTTCTCTGCCGATGCCTACACGTTGCTCAAGTTCTATGCTGTGGAGCCGCCGGTGGTGAGGAAATAGTTGTGGAAATTATTGTCCATCTTGGCTTCATGCTGCAATACAGGGGACCTTTCTAGTGACCCTGTGCAATGTGGCCTTGTGTCCAGATGCAAAACAAGAACCATGTTCCAAACCATGACACGCACTGTGTCATGGCTTGGAACATGGTTCTTGTTTTGCCTCTGGACTCGCTGAATTGCAACTGCTGTCCCTCACCTGGAATCAATGAAAGGGCGTCGTTTGGAGATGAGCACTGGCTTTTGCTGTCCTAGGTCAAGAGTGCCCTTGCAGGCTTGGACGAAACAAAGGTTGACTTCCCATTCAAGGTGTCACCTGCAGAAAATTCCATCATCCATATGGCACCTTCTCCTCCTGCGTCGCTCATTTTGGTGGGGAGAAGCGGCACAGGAAAGACCACATGCATCGTGTACCGCATGTGGGCCAACTGGCTTCGCCTATGCAGAGAGAAAGATGAAGCCTATCACCAGATTTTTGTAACAGCAAGTGCGACTTTGAAAGACCAGGTGAGATGCAGTGCCAGAAATGCAGCAAATGGTGGCTGAGTCGGGTCACGCTGTGTCACTTCGGGTCTTGCCAGTAGGTTGTCACCAATGCCAATGCCAATTGTTGGTTGTGATTTTCCTGCATTCAATTGTCCACAACCAGTTAAACAGATGCACCCAATGATGCTAGAGGTCATCAACTCCTATTTTGCTGTCCTCTAGGTCTCAAGGACGTTCAGGAAGCTCCAGGGTGCAGTGCTGTCAGCAGAGGAAGTTCGTGACCTTGCAGAACTGGCTAATGGAGAGTACCCCACACTCAGCGAAATCCCATCGGCAGCCTTTCCCCTGTTCTTGACCACACGCCAGCACCTGCAAATGCTGGATGGTACCCTCAGGGAGCCGTTCTTCCCAAGGCATGAGAATGGGGCCATCGACTATGACAATGATGAAGAATTGGATCCCGATGGGATGGAATTCAAGGTCAACCTTGACTTGGACCTTGAAGAAGAGGAAGGAGAGGAGGAAGCTGGAGAGGGAGCAGATGAGGAGGACAGGATTGGCGATGTTGCACTTGGTGACAGGCAGGCCGCAAACAGGCATGGAGATGCACCACGAATGCAGAATGCCAGGACGATGAGATCCCGCATCACATACCAAGTGAGCAAGTGTGCCACGGATTCACACTTCTCTGGAGTGCACCTGGTTGCAAGGCAATTCCAATTTATGTGCGGTTCCTTGGCCATGCTTCTGCTGTGGGACACGGCATGTTCTCTTCTGTGTTATCCTCAGTCTTAATGTGGTCCGTAGCACCTCCCAGCATGAGTGTTCTATCCGATCTGCTGTTGTTGTCTTTGCATGCAGTACTTTGTAGAAGTCTTGTGGAAGAAGCTCACCAACAAGGAGGAACGTCAGGACTTGAAGCCATCTCTTGTGTTCCAAGAGATCCTGTCGTACATCAAGGGTAGTGCTGAAGCCCTGGAGTCTGAAAGCGGCCATCTCACTCTTGAAGAGTATTTGGAAGTGAGTGTTCTAGTTATGAATCATGCAAAATGGAGTGCGAAGTGCCATTCTTTTGCCTTGTGTTTGTAGATCTCTTGCCAGTTTGGCAGCATTGTGCCTGATGCGCCGCACGGGTCATATAGTGTCCACCCCAAGCAAAGGAACAAAGTGAAGGGTGTGTTGCTGCTGGTGAGCAGCGTGCTTGTAGTGTTGACAATCGATGTAGAAAATGTAAGAGCACAGAAATGTTGTGTCACTCTCCTCTGTGGGGACACTGCCAAATAGATCGCAAACTCGAAGCCTATATACCAACTGTGCATAATCTCTTGTGCATTTAACCATGTGAATGGAATTGAAAGTGATATTGCCCGCTGGAGCACGTGTGGGGATCTTGCAACATCCGATTAATTTCTGGCGCATAAATGTTTTTGGATTTGAGTCTCTGCATGTAGTAGTGTATGTTCGACTTTGACCTGCTGGTCCTGGATGGTTTGGTGTGCACAACTGATGTGAACACAGTATGGCAACCCATCCATGGTTGCAAATTCTTTCCTTACCCGTTTTCATTTCACTCTCTTCCAGGTTGGCAGGAAACGTGCTCCAAACTACAGTTCCGACCTGCGGCGCAAGGTGTACCCTGTATACTTGAGATACGAGCATGAGAAGAGAACTCGATTTCATTATGACACGCTGGACTTGGTAGGGCACATCTACCGCAGGCTGCAGGTTGAGGGCTACAGAGGCACGCCAGTGCACAGCATGTTTCGTGACGAAGTTCAGGACTTCACACAGGCAGAACTTTTGCTGGATCTGAGGTGAGGTGTACATTCACCACAGGTGCAGATGAAGCTGTCTGCATTTACTCTGTGACTACATAACGGTGCCATTGAATGTGAACTGCAATAAGTGCAGAAAATATTCCTGACTCTGCTGACCAGAACAAAAGCATTGCTGAATGCCGTGAACAACCTTATTCTTGGCAAGCACTGCTTTCATGCCCTGGAGTTTCTGGCATATTCATGTGCTGCACAAGCACGGATCTGAGCACAATCGTGTCCATGTGGGACAGCTATACGCCTAGTAGTTTTGCAGTGGACAGCTCCGCATCTGTCCTTGCTTGTGTTGGCTGCTACAAGCCTGTGTGGGCCTTTACCACAACAGGACCGTCAAAGACCCCAACGGAATATTCTATTCAGGAGACACAGCACAGACGATCGCCCGTGGTGTCGGATTCCGTTTTGAAGACATTGGAACGCTTTTTTACACGGAAGGCAAGAAATGGCATCGATCAGCAGAGAATGAATTCGATGTGGGGAAGCCCTTGTTGAAGAACTTGCTCATCAACTACAGAACACATTCAGGTGTGGTAAGGGTAAACTTGTGTAGAACTTGCTGAGGCAGTTGCACACATATTGAGACTAAAGTTGTTCAAAAGTCCTCAGCAGAGCATGTATGCCGACACCACACAATTGCTGCACTGATTCGGCAGTTGGCTTTGTCCTCCCCTCCTTGTACTGTCTTGGTTTGTAGCAGTGAGGTCAATTGTTGTATTAGCAGTTGAGTGCATTGAGGCTTCCATTGCAGCATCCACACTTGTACAGCATGCACATCTTTGCTGCACAACACATGACAGCCATGGGGGATGCAGGTGATTGGTGTTTGGCTTCGATTAGCAAGGCTTTGCACATTCAGCTGATGTGCCTGTGGTCCAGGCATCCTGAACGTCGCTTCCAGCATCGTTGACTTGATCAAGCGCTTCTTCCCTCAGTACATGGACATCTTGGAGAGGGAACGAGCGTTTTTTGTGGGGCCAAAGCCATTGCTGCTGACTGGTATCAGGAGCGATGATCTCACCATCCTTGTGTCTGGAAGTGACCAGCGGCTGTCTAATGTGCGTAGATTTCCATTCTCTTCTTCCCACAGCGTTCTTTGGCCTGTGCTTCCAGTTCCTTGCTGTGGGCTCATTTGCAATTGCTGCTTGTAACATCGGGCTGAATATGGCACTGGATTATTTCAGATTCTTAGAACTTGGTGGAGTTGAGCGACCGTGACTTCTTTTCTGAAGTACTGCTCCTTACTGTGGGATTCTGCTGCACCTATTGTGTCAATTGCCGTGCTGTCGTGTTCCAAGCCACATCTCCAGTTTTTGTTGCACAGAACGTGAATGGAGAAGGATTTGTTGGCTTGCATGTGTGCAACATGGCATGGACTGGTAGTGGCTGGCTGTGCTTGCTGACCACATTCAGAATGGCAAACAAGTGATTGGCTTTTGCCTGATTGTTTCATTGAAAGCATACGGTATGGGGCTGACTTTGGATTGATTGAAACATTAGCCTGTGTCTGACATCTGGCTGTTAACGCACACTCATGTATTGACCAGGTTGAGTTTGGAGCCCACCAAGTGATCTTGCTCCGAAACACAACCAGCATCGACAACCTACCGGAGCCGATTCGAAACAGTGGGGCGCTGATCATGACTGTCTCGCAGTCCAAGGGACTAGAGTTTGACGATGTCTTCCTGGTGGACTTCTTCAGCGATTCGTTGGCAAGTCGCGAATGGCGTGTGGTTGGACAATACCTTGACAACCTCGCGGACCTGGAGAAACAAAGTGGTGCTGAGAACCTTCCAGGAGGCATGCCCCTAGTGGATGTCCAGGTACAGGCAATTGGATCATATGGGGGCTGCTGCAGCACTGCCCACAACACTTGAACAAGGGGTCTGTACGATCCGAAAAATGAACCAGCTATGCTTTTGAAATAGCCAATAACCAGCTGAGAGTGAAGAGCAATACTGGGAACAAGGGAATAGTTCTAGGCTCACTTTTACGTCAGCATGTTTAGGCCAATATTAGTGTTGCTTGACCTAAATGCTTCTAAGAAATTGTGCATTCATTTACTGGAATATAAAGAATGTGCTTGGTTCTCTCAGATTTTGGCATTGTTGCGATGAGCTGTCAGCTAGTGCCACTGTTGATGCCAATTGGACTGGCCGGTGTTGTCCGATCTCCTTGACTGTGTGACTGTTGTACTTCACTTGCACATTGGCATGGCAACTGAATTTCAAGAGTGCCACAGATGTCAAGTATGCTTGTTTACCAGGTTGATGACGCAGAGAGAGGCCACATTCGTGTTGTGGAATTTGACAAGCGGGAACATGTCCTGCTGTGTGAAGAATTGAAGCATTTGTACACTGCAGTCACAAGGGCCAAGAACAACTTGATCATATTTGATCAAAACAAGGCTAAACGAGCACCCATGTTTCATTACCTTGCTCGGCGGGGGCTTGCGCGTATTGTGAAGCACTCACTGCTAACAGATGGCCAAGATGCCTCCAAGTATGGCCTGAGCCAGACAACAAGCTCACCAGAGGAGTGGGCAAAGCGGGGCCTCAATCTGTTGGACAACAATCTCCATGGTTTGGCAATTCAGTGCTTCGAAAAGGCGGAAGATGCAGCATGGGCTCTGGTAGCAGAGGCGTACCACCAGATCCAAAAGGCCAGATCTGAAGAGAGAGCGACAGAAGCACGCCTACTGTTTGAACAGGTTTGTGACATTTTTGTTCAGTTGGTGAAGGCTATTGCCAATCGTACATGTTGCTGGCAGTAGGCAAGGTCCTCCCTGGGCATGGCCTTTTTCTCTTCTCTTGTGATTTTGTGGTTTATCGCATGCCACAAGCGGTGCTTTGAGTGGATGTGCAATGCACAAAAGTTTTGGTCATTTCGTGCACAATGGTTGTAGTGAAGGACAACTGGTTTTGCTTGCAAAGCAAGCAATATCTGTAATGGTCCAGCCACGAAATGCAAACCATTGTCCTCCAAATCGTGCATCAGGCTTTGCTGTTGTTATTTTCCAACATAGCAACATCCGGTTGACACTGCTGCCATTTGGACTGGTAGAGAATGTTTGTTTGCCGTTTTCTTGATAGTGGATGACTGCAATTGAGCAATAGTTCGCGTGTCACTAGAATACTCAATGCTCATGTCGTAGATCGGATGCTGCCAGATACTATTGAATACCATGGGCTGCTTTGGGTTGTCGGCACAATACATAGCCTAATACATCGTGCCAGCGATTTTTTGCATTGATGCAGTTGATATTATTGACGATGAGACATTTGTGTGAATGGAAGTGCACTGCCAGAAATCGTTTGTGTTTTTTTGGCTGCAGGCAGGGGATAGGCTGCTGACTGCTGCCACAAACACAGAAAAGGCAGTGCTGCAAGTGACTGCCAACCAAGCAATGCGATGGCTGCACCTGGCAACTCGTTGTTATGTCCAAGCAGAGGATTTTGCCACTGCTGGCAGGATTCTGAAGAGCATTCGGCAGTTTTCAAGGGCTCGAAATTATCTTATCAGGGCAGACAACTTTGGTGCGTTTCTTGCCTCAGCGTGCAGCAAATACTAGAAGTAGATGGCCTGCAGTGCTCAGATTCAGGCTTGGTGTCAACCTGGTCAGATATTACAACCCAGGACAGAGCCTTTGTGAAATTGCTGCGTGGAAGAGTACCTGTCGTGCTCAAGATAAGTCTTTACTGCACAACTAGCCTATCCACACACTTTTGTATCCTCCTATACTGCAGCTACAGATCATTTGATGAGTGTGCGCATGCAGACATAGTTTGCAAGTGACAAATAGCTGCGCACTGGAATTACACAACTTCGATGCTCTTGCACACCCCATTGAATGGTAGAAATTGTGTGCGGTGTTTCAATCACTCTCAAAGTTGCCTGGTGTGGTGGAGTGACACCTGCCTGTGTATATCCCGTTGGGAAAGTCATGCCTTGTTCTCACAGTGCCCCATTGTGCATGCATCAGAACATTGTAGGCAGCAGACTGTGAGAATGCGTAAAGCTGGTGGACCTTGGGCTGCTCATGTGTGCTACTGTTGTTTCTTTGTCCTTGCTGCCCACTGGAGCCAGTGGTAGATAAGGGCATCCGTTGCTCCTGACAGTGTCTTCTGGGTATGACAGAACTGGCAGCAGAGTGCTGTGAGGGCAATGCTAAAGCTCAACCACAGTCTGCAACTCAGTCATTAGTGAATGCATGCAAGCTCTATTCAAGAGCAAGGATGCATTCCAAATGCATATCGCTTTTCAAGGAGCACAACATGGAGAAATTTGAGGGAATGGAGGCAATCGCAGAGAAGGCACTCCATATCGCCCATCGGAAAGGTGTGTTCTCCTTGTGTGGTGACAGATGCATACAGAATCATAGAATCGCAGGAATACCTGTGTAAGGCTTGTACTCACGAGCTGACACTACCACTTCTGTGGCGTTTTTGTGACCATGACAGGTGATATTGCTGGAATTGTCGACTGTTGCCCGTTCCTTGAGCCTGGCAGCCGTGAGAATGCTTTGAGGGAGCACGGTCACTGGGAGATTCTGGCTGGTTACCTGCCAAATAGATTGGAAGGTGCGGAGCTTTTGGCAGCCTGTGGAAAGTTTCAGGAAGCTTCAAATCTGCTGCTGAAACTCAAAGATGACGACCTCGATTTGGCTCACCGGCAAAGACTGCATGGATACTTGTTGAAGGTGAGCCGCATAAGATTTGGCAGTTGACACAGACTCTCATGGCATGCGCAAGAAAAAGATGCTGCAGTCGCTGATGGGCGAGAAGCACTGGGTTGTGTACTTTGTGTGGTCAATTGGTCCTCAGTTGTGGATATGTTCCTGTAGAACAAATTTCTGGTTTGCTGTGTATAAACAGGTTGGAAGCCAGGAATCATGCCTGCAAGCTCTGCAGCTCTGGAGCACCAGAGACTATGCAGCTGACAAGTATGCGCGGCTGCGAGGGGATGCCCTGCTTGGCATGTTGCAGGCACACATCAGAGGCCTCAAAGGCAAAGGCCATTCTTCCGATTCTGTGGCAGAGTTGGTTTCTGTGGCAGAGGAGGCTTGGCAACACTTCTGCAAAGCTATGAACCCCCTGGGAATACTGGAAGTCCTGACAGCCTTGAAGGAACTGATGCTTTCCTTTCCTAACCTGACTCTACAGGTGTGTGTGCATGCCTTCAGTACATAGCAAGGAACCATCAAGAACTGTGCTGTGTCTGTACTGCACCATGTTGGAAACGAATGTGATCTTTCCTCGATGCGTGTTGTGTTGGGAGCAGAGGCTATCATGCAGGAAGAAGGATCTGAAATTTGCTGTGGAAGAAGGGTTAAAATTTGTGTGAACTTTGTTGCACTGCTACCTGCTTGGTATTAAGGCAGTTGTGGACAGCATCGTTTGCAGCAGTGCCGTTACCTGCTGTAGAATCTACGACTGCTGTTTTCTAAATGGCGTCTTTCTGTTGCCAGCAGTTTAGACACAGTTGTTTTGTTGAAGAAAAGTGCGCACAGGCAGTGGAATTGTGCAAAATTGCATTGTACAGCATCTTGAAGTGCACTTATTGTGAAACCAATGGATTGTGACCATTGCATCCATTTTATCATAACAAAATCCACAAAAGACAGCTGAAACACATCTGGCGCCATGCACACAATGCCAGTTGTTGCCAGCTTTCAGTGAAATTGTGATCGGCAATCACAACTAGGAATTTGGAGGTGCACTGAGCTTGGTGACCTTGCAAGAGGCTATTGTTTGGATTCATATGGGCAGTGCACTGCAGGGCTGTGTTCTTGTTTGAGTGTCTACCAACTTGTGCGCTATTGTGGCTAAAGTAATGCTCATGTGCATAGGATGTCAGCATGTCGATGGCAAAGATTGAGGTCTCTGCAGATTGTGGTGCTCGTGTGTGCAAAATATTGGAGGATTTGAAGTCTTGTGAAGACAATCAAGACATGAACCAGAAAGGACTGGGAACATATGCAGCACATTTCGGAATCCACCAGATATCTCAACATGTGAAGCTGGTGCCCTTCAGGTATGTGAATTCCGTTTGACTACCAAGTCGCTCTATTTTGTTGAAACCCGGTCGATCAGGGGAAGAGTTTGCCCCCAGTCATTTTCATCCTGGCAACCTGCCCTATGTTTCAAACACGATGTCACCATCTTTTTTGACACACTGTGGCCAGGCTGGTGCTCTGGCTGATGAAGTTAACGATCTGGCAATGATATGTCGGTGGGTGTGGTTACCATGAAACTGATCCACCCCTTCTCTTTGTTTCAAGACAGCCGGAGTAAATGGGCGGTTGGGTGTCGAAACTCTAGAAGCTAGCAATGGCAGCATGACAGCCTTTCAGAAGTGTACTGCACAATGCACTGTTGTACATGCTCACAATGAACTGAAAGCTGAACAGTGGTTGTACATACTCAACGAAATGAAGTCATGACACAACAGAACATGTGTACTGCTTTCAAAGAATTGAAGGAATATGCTATACCTTGTGTGTTCCGCAATTGTCTGACTATTCATGCTGCAGTACATGGAGTACCTGCTGGTACCTCTCACGTTTGTAAAGCACGTTCTGTATTTGGCGTGCAGATGCGACTCAATCCGTTTGCAGCGTGCGCTGCCTGTGGACTTCTCAGCACAGTTTCAACAAACAGGTTGCTCTCATGGAGGAATGCAGGGTGTACAGAGGCCACGGCCTTCTCCTGCAACCAAAATTGCTTGGGGACAAGTCAAGAAACACACAGAGGTGGACATCTGTCTTCAGATGTCCAAGGGTCTTAAGCACTTGCTGGAGGTCTTGACTAAGTCCCTTGTCAGATCGGTTTGGCACGGCACCCCCAGAGCCACCATGAAGAATCACCATTCTGAAGCCACAACACACTTGGAGAGTTCTATCGTGGTGAGTTGGGCTGTTGCTAGATGCACAGGGTATTGCCAGCCAATAGAGAATTGAACACCTTGCTGTGGATGCATTGCAGAATCATTGAACGTGCATTGGTTAGCACTTCTCCAATGAACATGGTACCTTGTAGCCCACAATCATTTGAGCTGCCGATCTGAGGCATTTTGTGGATTTTATAGGCATATCGCATTCATCTCAGCTTGCTCCGTCTGCTGCGGATCGTGCCGCCTTTTGTGCTTGGGAAGGAGCACAAAGATCTGCAACAGGATTTGAAGCCCCTTGGGCGTCAGATCATGGTGCTTTTGACTGCAGGGCTTTATTCGCCATTTGCCCTTCAGATGGAAGAACCTGACCCAACGTCCCAATTCAAGGTGTGTAGGTATTGGGCATGACATGTTCTGGTAGAAGACTTGATGTGCAACCTATTTCAGTACAAGTGTGCATTTTCCCCTTCTTTGCCATTTTGACAGATTCTCAGCATCTCCAGAATGAGGGTTGGCCTCACTTGCATGGTGCAGATGCTGATGAGCTTTTGATGTGCAGAAAAAGGAATGTAATAGATTGTGAGGGCAACCATTACTTACCATCCACCTGTAGCTGTGAACAAGTGACTGAATATGTGGTATGTGGTGCTTGCTAAGCCTGCTGCTTACTATAGCTAATGCAATGACCATTCTGCAAGAGGCGAACAGCTGTTCCAGTGATGGCGATGACCATTCAGCACTTCATTTGCCTAAGTTATCAACCCTTTCTTCGACTCTCGAGTTTGGTGTTATGTTATTTGTGGCTCCTGGTCGCAAGGGTAAACACATTAATGGCTCCCAGGCTAAGGATTCATGCAGTCTTTGCACCCGATGTGCATGTTTTCCTCATCATCTCGTCATTTGGTTGCTATCCAGGTGACCAGCGAACGCAAGGGGTTGACAAGGAAGGAAATTGGTATGGTACCAAAGGATGTGCACTGGCTGTATGACAACAGGGAGAACCTGCAGCCCCGAGACAAGATTTTGGACCCCAATGTGCACTACTGGCTTGTCAGGTCAATTTTTGACTTCCCTGCTACAGCCAAATATGTGCCTCCCCCAGAGGCTCTGTTGAAGAAGAGATTCGATTATGCCTCAAAGGCGGCACGGAATGACCGCTGGAGGCAGGGGTACATGCGGCAAATGTTCAGGAATGTGCAACAGCAGTGGTGTGTCGACGGTCACCTGTTGTTAAAGGCAAGCACCCCTGAAATCCCACAGGAGGGCGTCCACTCGATTCTGTTGTTTCTGGCACGGTCAAGAGTGCTTGAGGAGATGCATCAAGACAGGCCATGCCTGTCTCTTCAGGTAGGCATACGCACCCCATTTCAGTGGATTCAGAAGCACACGTGGGTTATCCTTCTTGCTTGCAGTCCATGTGTGCTGTGCGAGTCTTTGCCCACTGCTGCTACAGACAAAGAGCATATTGCTAGCTTGTGGGTGCCCTCGAACCCGTTTCTTCATCCTGAATATTCTGTTGCCTGTGCAGTGCTATGTAGAGCTCCTTGAACAAGCGGCTGGGCTCTTGCTGCTTGGGCTGGGTGACAGAGCATACATCCCTGGCCACATCACCTCCACCATCAAACATTCTGGGATTCTGCCTCGCGATGGTAAGTATTGTTCATTCTCCCGCTCTCTGTTGAATGAGGACGGTGGTATTGTGAAAAATGATGTACTGGAGTCACGATGAGCAGTTTGCACCCTTGTGGAGTGGTCACGGTGTTGACGTGGTTCTTGGTTGGTGTTTCCGTCATTGGACAAATGGTAGTTGCCTTGCATCCGAGAGTTGTGGGGGATGGACAAGCATCGGGGATGAGCTTCTCGCAGATTGCTGTTGTGTTGCATACGCTGGCAAGTCAAAAATGCAAAACACAGCTGGTGTCTTGTGCGGTTCCATTCAGAATGTGGGAAATTTCAGTTCGGCTGAGAGTCGTTGACCATTTTGTATTTCAGGACTCGAAAGTTGCTTTCACTTCTGGAGGCCAAAAGAACGCCCACACCCCCGCAAGGATGGCATTGATGACAGCCCGAGGGCCTGTCTGTTGTTGCTTGTGAGACTGTTGCACGATCTTGCAACCAAGGTGTTAGGAGACAATCGGAGGGTGAGTTGCCGTGCAGCTTTTGCGATGCAACAACTTTGTGACCTATCTTCTTCTACACTTATACTTTGTTGAATTTTTACAGCTGTGATTTGGTCGCACGGCATTGCTGTATTGGCCAAAACATATTCTGTGCACACAAGTTGAAACTCTGCAGATTCCAGGTTTGTGTTGTCATCCAGTTGTGCCCGACATCGATTCAGCGCAGCATGCCCATGTTGCCAAAGTTTTAGATTTGCGACCCGCCACTTTTAGTGCTGCGCGGCTGCAGGTCAAGAAGATTGCGCAATTAAACTGTTATCGTGCCTGCAGTGCTGTTCCCTTGAGCAGCATATGCTGCGTCTCTTCGTCAGCGCAAAGACGAAGAAGCAAAGCCGGGTAGCAACAGCAGAAGCAACCTGGATGAGTGAGCACATGGCAATGAGGACGCAACTGCTGTGCGGGAGCGTGTGCCTGTCCCTTTTGATGAATACGGAGCAGGAGCTGAAAATTGAGCAGGATGTGAAAACGTGGTGTCTTTTTACGATCGACCAGTCACTTCAGAAAATTGTTACAAAGACAGCAGGTGCCAGCAGCCAGGGGCAAAATATGAGCACACTCTTGAGCGTCTCGGTGAAGGACTTCTCCAAGGCCGTAGTCGATGTCTCAGGGACCCTCGGATCAGGTATGTTCTATGTTCAGAGAGATGAACATGTGCTACCACCCCACCAAGGAAACTTATGCAGATTTAAGTGTTTGGTTGGCCTCTTGTTCCCTAGTCTGCGTTGTAGCGGTGTGGAGATACACGTATCCTGTATCCGATTGTGGAACGGCATTCCCGTGGCTAAATGTCTGCTCAATTTGATCTGAAGGAATGATGGAAGTCGAAAAAGGGAAGGAACGTGTGTTCGACAAGTTTCCAAATCAGTTTCCAAAGGAAAAGAAGAGGAAGAATGTGCTCGTAAAGGCGAAAGTGAAGCTGCCTCCATCTGGTAGTGAGCAAGCACGAAATGCGGAACATCTGCTGCGGTTGCCTCCACCAGGAGAGTTGTTCATCGAGACAGAAAAAGAGACCGTGGAATCCAGAGAAAAAGCTCGGAAGGATGATGCTGCAAACGTCATTCAGAAGCATTGGAAGATTTACTCGTCGTGGCTCAAGAGGTTGAGGGCGCTCAAAGTGATGAGGTAACGCCGGCGGTCGAAATTCTGCCAGAGCCATCGCACGCAGCAACAGATATCCCGATGGTTGCTGAGCGCCATGAATTCTGTGCAGGTTGTGGAATCCAACGTTTCGAGCCAGCTTTCATCGGTTCACCCTTCAGCTTCGGGAGAGACTGGCATCGCGGAAACGGGCAGACGAACTTGCTGCAGAGGAGGCAGTCCGGCAATATGATCTAAAGGACTATAAATCTCGCCTGGCATGGGTTCGTAATGGGCTGGACGGTGGCATGGGTGCGGCATGCACAGTCTGTCCTCTCTCAGATGTCGATGGTGGACCAGATGGCGAAGCGCCAGAGATCGCCCACAGAGCGACTGAGGCACATGAGCGCTGCGTGAGCGATTTTGAGGTAAAGGGTGGCCCGTTGATGACTTGCACCGAGGCTAAGAACGCGAGTGCTCTTCGCAGTCACTTGAATGGCGCTTCTGTCGAACTGAGCCGTCAGAACGTATGTTCAGTTTTGCCCGGGTTCCACAATTATATCTGAGTTGCTGTCACATGTTCGGGGAAAGCGCCATGCGTGGACCCTGACTCGAACAATTTTGCTGCCACAAAACCAGAGTGCGCCATAATTCCAGGAATATGGACAAACTACGAACTAACGCAAATCAGTGAGTGCATCGAGATTTTTAGCGTTTTGGGCGCCAGTGAACTTTGGAGCGCTCTGGGTCACGCAGTGAGCAGTTGCTTTTGTAGGGCGAGCTGTACATTTTTTCAGTTAAACAAGGCATATTTCGTTGAACAAGTGTGCATACTGCAGAGCTTATGCTTGCGCTGCAATTTGCGTTGCACCAAAGGCGGCACCTCTGCATCGCAACAGGCACAGTGCAGTCACACTGTGCACACTGCTGTCCTAATGCTAATGGCAACCAAAGTCTACTATTTTGCTAAAAACTGCTTTTCTCTCTCTGCCTGTGTGTCACAATATTTCAGATTGTGCCGAAATCTGGACAAATAGGGCCCAGTTCAGACAAATTGTCCAGGCAATTTTCGTAAACGCATCCTGACTACAGGAAATGATTGGCCAGGTTAATATAGATTTGGCAATAATGGTTGCTCAGGTTGGAAACTGGACAACAGCGCTGGTGAGAATGGCCCAACTTCAGAATCCGCAGGATGTTTAACACCCTTGAGTGCGCTGGTGTCCACCTGGATCTCAGCAGATTTGAACGAAAACACACTTTTGGCCACCATCACCTGGTCTCCGCCCCTTTTGTTCCCGTTCGGCCTCACCATTCCTGCTTGTACCATGCAGTATTCTCATGCAGATACAGAAATTTGGGGTTGATCTGATGCAAGGCATCTGAAATCCACGGAGCACGTCATTGTGGCTAATGTGTACTGTTGTCTACAGAGTAGCGTAGACGCAACAGGGCCGATTTGGCTTCTCAATTCGCTGAGCAACGTTGCATAGTAGATTCAACTCCATGGTTTTGTTGTTTGTCAGGACTACTACAAGTTTCAAGAGGAGGTGGTCACTGTGCTGCGCGAGGGGGAAGCGAAACATGCGGAAGTGGTCGAATTGCAGAAAACGTGCGGCGATGATGCCGTTGATCTCTACGTACAGCTTATGAAACTGACAGGGGAACTGCGAACGGAGTCGATCGCCAACGCCATTGAGGCACTAGAGGGATCCCGCAAATGGCGAGGCAGGGAAGCGCTCCAGGTGCCGCCTTGAAACTTTCGTTGCGTTGAGATTTAAACAAAAATGGGTGTTCAATGTCCACTGGATTGTTGATATTCACATGTCGCTTGTCTGTATGGAAGTCATGTGCTCGGCCGAATATGACTGTGCTGCGGAACGACTGATGATATGCAGACATATATTGTGAATCTGGTGCAGTGCGCTTTGCGGCTGTTGCAGCCTTTTTTTGGAGGTCCTGTTTGGTGTTGAACATCTGGCATGTGCTTGTGGATTATGTGCGTAGGTATGCCTGGAGAAGCTGAAATGTGCCACCGAGGAGTGCACCAAATGGTTACATGATTACAAGGCGCAAAAAACGTTGAATGCAGAACAGGAGGGTGCTGGAGGATCGAACGGACCGCGGGATGCTCAAGGGTCTGCCATTGAAGGCGATTTGCAATACGAGGGGGTATGCCGATTGCGGTCGACGGCTAAATCAGCGAGGCTATATGAGACCTGAACAATTTCCCCCTATTGCTGTCAAAAACCACTCGTGCGGAGCCGGTTTGCCATTGTGCTAGAGCGCGTTGATATTTACGATACAGTTTCGAAACTTTCGAGAGCGTAGCGAACTCCCTGGCAGTTTCGAAGCTAGTCTGCTTTGCACCATTGTGCTCGAACCATCCTTGCTAGTGCTGGCAGTGGCCGCCCCTATCCATTGCTGGCCACTGGTTGCTGCAGCTGTGCATACCCTCTGCAGTTGTCTGCTGAAGCTCATGGCGGGCTGAAAGGAAAATTGAGGCACTCACTGTCATCTTTCGTGCGTTGTTTCAAAGTGTCAGCTTCACCAAGCCTGTCGTCATTTGAATCAGTGTTGCCTGTATCCGCCACCACGAAGATGTGAAGCATGGCACTATTTGTGCCCTGTGGGCGAACTTCAGAAACCATCTGCTAATGTGGACACGCTGCATATGCCGACACTTGCTCATTCTGCCCTTGACACAGGAGCGGGAGGCGGACGATTTGTTGCCTGACTGGGAAGTGACAGAGAAGCAAAACGGAAAATGGAGACGGAGACGGTACCCTAGGAAATTGGTGAAAGCGACTGACAACCGCAGAGGGGCACCGAGATAGAGATTGACGCAGTGGTGAGAGGGTATCAAGAGCCAAGAGCGCACGTAGGAAGCGTAGGTTTTGGGTGTTGATGGGTGGTTCGCGTAGTAGCCATTCTTAATGTGCTCAGCACAATAGATTGAGCAGTGCGGTGGCAACGGAAGACTTGCCATCTGAGGGAGTGGGGATTTTGCGAATGCCTCTGAATCTTTGCTACTTGTGCTTACTCTGTACGTGTAACATTACTATTGCGGAATGGGCTAGGTTCATGGTCCCTAATGATAGCGACCGCCACAGGCGACGCAGCTGGTGAAAGGCGGGCCCTGTCCGTTGGTGCATCCTCACAAAGTTGTGTCGATGCGAAATTTCACACCATGCTAATCTGGTCTTCCACTTGCATGTGACGAATGTGATAGCCGCCAATGCTTTGGACCTGTAGCTCCATGGACTTGGAGTTCTGGAACACTGATTTCTGCTCGATGGGATCCTCTTGCCGCCCAACTCGCACACTGGCCAGGGCACTGGCACTTTCCCAACCCTAGGGTCCAAACCCAGCCGTTCCATGCAAAAGCCCAGGAACGTCAATACTTGTTGGTTGGCACTACGGCTGGCGACTTTGCCACAAAATCACTGTAAACTCCAGATTGCCAGCCCCAAGCGCTTCAACAACTTTTCCAAATTCGAATCATTCTATAAGGGTGGGCGGGTTGGAGCCAAACAAGATTCATCCAGGATTATTGTCGTCGTTGATGCAGCATCAACATCTGCCCTAGTTTCAGATGTGAGTGGCCATCGCTTGTCCAATCTTAAGAAGGGAGGGTGCCTGCCGACGACGTAAATGCCCGCCTATTCTAACCGTTTGAAAGCTTTGGCTCTCCCCGAAAGTGTGGTACCGTGCGCAGATCCCTTGGCCCAACCTCGAATGCAGTCCGTGAAACGACCATTCAAAACTCCCAAAAGGCCGACTGCCAGCAGCAGATTTGTCACTGGTTGCCCACAAAACTATGCTCGGCAAAACGGGAAACCCGTGGCTGCCTTGCTACATGAGAATCAGTGATGGTGATGATGATGGCCACCCTGAATCGTTATGAAAAGAGATTGAGAATGTACCCTCAATCTTTGAACAAGCCGCGGCATTCTCAACGGAATCCATGGGTCGGCGGTGAACGCGACCAGCAGCCCCAGCGCAGTCGGCCGCAATGCGCTCAAAATGGCGACAATGCAGGAAACCCCATGATGAGACGCACTGTTCAGTTTCTGGAGGGCTGTCCCACTCGTCCACTCCCCCTCCTTCCTCGAATTGTGCTCCGCCCTGAGCAGCATATTTCCAACGGAGGGCGCGGCAGCCCAACCGGGCGCCCGTCAGGTCCTCCTCGCTCGCAGGCGCGCCCCCAGCCCCGCCTCACGGCCCCGCGCCGCCGCGCGCCCACCCGATCCAGGCGCAGCTTCCCGCATCCCGGGTAGCGCCGCAGCCGGGCGGATGCCGCCCGAAGACGCGGACGAATCGGATGCGGCGGACGACAAACGCCGCGGCTGGGCGGCGGGCCTGTGCGCCGGCTGCGCGGAGGCCGACCGGCGGGCTTCCAGGGCGCTGCACGCCCGTCTGGGACGGCGCGTGCCGCGCCGCGGCTACCTGGCCCTCGAGCACGCCGGCAGCGCCCTGCTGATCCCCTTAGTGCTCCTCCTCGCCCTGGTATCCCGCCTCTCCGGTCCATTCCAGGCCCTGTTTGTCAACATGTCGATCGGATTCATCACCGACCTGGCGCTGGTGGGGTGCCTGAAGGCCGCGGTGCGGCGCCCCCGGCCGGCGTACAACGACGCCGAGGACTACGCCCTGGTGGTGTCCGTGGACAGGCACTCCTTTCCAAGCGGCCATGCATCGAGGGCGCTATTCATCGCCGCGCTCACTACCGCATGGGGGGTCCCCGCCCTTTGGCTGGCGCTGGCATGGGCGTGGGGGGGCCTGGTGGGGCTATCGAGGGTGATGATGGGAAGGCACTACTTGACGGACGTGGTGGGAGGGTGGGTTGTGGGGTTGCTGAATGCCGTGATCGTGACTGGAGGCACGCTGGGGCGGGGGGGGTGCCTCGTGCGCGAGGGGGAGCTGCACTGGGGCAATGCGTCGTCGCACCTGAGGGAGGCGCGCGTGGGCGGTCACGGTCTGGGATGAGGTTGGCGCTGAAGGGGGGTGAGGCAGGGATTCGTCTGGTGCCGTCGGGCTGCACTTCGCGGCCGAATTGGTTGGGAAGCAGGGGAGGGGATCGGCGCCAGAGCGACGAGAGGAAGGGCGGATGCGCCTCTGCAGGGGAAGGTTTAGACGGGGCCGCATCTGAAACGAATGGGACAATTCTCGTCGAGTTTGCGTTATTCTTTGACTCATCATCGTCGCGCATTGTTACATAACAAGGCAAGGAGGCACCCGTAAGCTTCCTATTCTGCCCAAGCGAAGCAGTGTCCATGATTTGCTCTTTGACACGCGTCTGTTGGGTGCTTCTAATTTCTTTCTGAAGACCACTTTATGTCGGCCTCCTCGTCCACTCCGTGTTGCAAACCTGTTGAGCAGGCAGGAGTTCTTGCTGGACTCTGTTTGAACAAGTTTCTCGCGAGAATGGGTGCTTGCCTACCCGCCAGTGAGCCCTGTCCCGGGACCTCAGGAGCCACAGCAGTATACGGGCGGGAACCTGGAGATTGCCCGAACTCGAACGATCAGACTCTCGTCACCAGTAAAATGGGAACAACGAGAAGGAAACCAACGGCACAACTCCAAAACAACTGGACGCCTATGAAAGGCTTTGATCAGCAGGGCCCAGTTTGAAAGGAGACGAAAACGCCAAAGCCTGGCTTCTGTCCTCTTGCACTCATGGTTGATGAACGTTGTCTTGTTGTCCATTATGGTAATGTTCTGCTGCAATGAAGTCATTCACAATTCCCGGCATTGCTGCTCGCCCAGTTTCTTTCCTTGCTCCCCGCTGACCTGTCCTACGATGTTTGAAACTTGACGCAAAATTCTGCACCCGTCCCACAGTGCCGATGGCATGTGCACAGGGAACTGTCCTGTGACTGTTCGCGCAGCGAAGGTGCTCGTGAGCGTCCTCTTGGGGACTGCCTGTGGCATTGTGTCGGAGGCCAATATCTAAGGAATTAGTGGATGGGTGCATAGCACCGGTGCAACATTCCAAAGTATATACTTTGTATGCTTCCTGGCCTAACCAACCATCTTAATGCCCCTCCCGCCCCCAAGGCTGGTACGAGCGCATAACATGGGGACACAAGGTTTGTGCGATTTCGGTTCCGCCAACTTCAATTCTCTTCTTCCAGAAACTGAGAATAGTGGCTGCGATTTCCACCACCGGACTCAGACATTCTGCTGGCAAACACAAGCTGCGCAAAATGGCATTGCACGTACCAAAACGAAAGGGGAATTTCGAGTGTGCGTTCTTGCGGTGCCAGAGTTTAGTCATCATCATCATTTTTACAGAACAAGGGAATGAGGTATCCGTCAGCTTCCTGTCTTGCCTGAGCAAAGCGGAATCGGTGATCGGCTAGTTGAAATCTAATGTGAAGCACAAACTAAATCTATGAGTCTATCAACTCAATAATGTGCCGGAGTTTAGTCAGAGGCTGCCCGCAGCCATGCTGTATCGATGACTGCGTTGAACTTAACCAGTCCGGGAGTTGGAAATGTTGGGCACAGGCTCATTTGTTCGCCCCATTGCCATTGACCAACGCTTCTTGATAACAGAATTGATGAAATCTGGAGTTTATGTTATATGTTAGATTTAATTAACTGATTATGGGCACTACTTTGCTCAGGCAAAATAGCAAACTGACGCTGTCACCCTTGCCAAGTTATGTAAGAATGAATGGTGATGGCAATGGCAGTAAACGACAGAACTTAATGCTGAATTTTAGGTGGTTTTCCTGGCCTAGAGCTGGCCATCATGTACTTTTCAGTCTCCACCAGTGCTTCAGGTAGTTTATTGCACTTGTGCGTTGTCATCATCATCATTTAATTCTACATAAAAGGGCAATGTGGTAGCCGCCAGCTTCACATTTTGCCTGAGCAAAGCAGTGTCCATGATTGATTCATTGAAATCTAATGTCTTATACATACGAAGCCTGTGAATCTATAAGACCCTAATGCCAAGAAGCGAATGTCCATGATAAGCAAGAGAAGTGCCCTCGCCAGCTGGCCAGCGGAAACCGAAGCAAAAAGTGCTTCCTTGCGTTGCGATGTCGAAAAAGACTTGTGCACTGTCATGGTGTCCATGCTGAACGCAACCGATGGGGCTGACACCGCTGCTTCGTCGAGATCCTCGAACGATTGACTCTGTTGACTCATCAAGACTGTCAACCAAATGACACCGTTGACTTATTTGACTCCTCGAGACCGTCAAACAACGATGGCGGAGAGAGTCTGGCGCTAAACGCAAAAACCTACGGGAAAACACAAAAGCCATTTGCCGTGGCACACAACAGCAGTGACCCCATCATATATATCCCTAAAGTACTCTCCGGAGCACTCCTTTGCTTCTTTTCGTCGGGTGGTGGCGGTCAACGCAATCAATGTCCTGACGGCCACGTCCTCGAAAACTCCGTCAAAGTTCGAGACCGAAGGCAGCTGTGCAGGGAGGCTGGATGATCTGGGAGGCACCGTGCTGCCCGTGGGGCCCAGATATCCTGTTCTAAAGCCCCAATTGGGGGTGAGCATCTCACACATTTGGATCGACAGAGCAATTGGTGGCGATCTGGTCGCGTACATTGCCCTTAAGGGCATACCCGGGTGTGCAATATTATGCATTATATAGGAAAGAAATTGCATTCCTGGGAAGATCATATACTTCAGAGATATGTTCATGTTTGCATTGCGAAATTCTCCACATTGTGTGATGTCGGATGGAAACAACATCATGCGTAACTTGCAGCTGATAGTTTGCTGTCTGTGTGGGTACTCGCACCCGTACGGTGCATGTCTATCGAATCAATGCATCGCATAAATATGTAAAACAATCTAATTCTAACACTTCATATGAGCATTTCGGTGCTAAATAAAGGCCATGGCACCAAGTTTGCTTCTTCTGGAGAATTCATTTTGAGTGTTCATTCGTTCAACGCTTTCCGTGCATTCATAAGTGAAAGATTGTGGAGGGGTATGCTCAGGCTGGTTCATGGTGATAGTGGGAAACTTGCAACCAAGGGAAATATCTGTTCAAATGCACACAAATAAATGCACTGGACGAAGAGTACAATGCAAGCAAGAGTTCTTGGGTATTTCCTTTTACAGCAAACCCGACTTACCACTGTCGCAGACATCCGACCATTCTCAAACTGCATGTGCAGCGAAAGATGATAATCCTGCAATTCAATGAGGAGAATCAGGGTCACTCAAGTATTTTCTGAAAGACATGCAAAGAGGTACGTCAGGCACCTTATTTCCATCTTCCGTGGAGCGCACGACTTACATTTTTCATTGGATTACACTTCAATTCTCCCAAGTACATGGCAGCATCTGCACGTTCATGGCCAGATGCTGAGGACAACGGCTGGCTTTCCATCTTCATGCAACAATGAATATATCAGGGGAGGAAAGCATAAATTGGCCACCAAGCTAAACGCAACTCGATGCCATGGAAACCGGTTCGCGCAACACCGGGCTCACGCTCTCGACAGAGGCTGGTTTGCGAACGTTTTGATCCATTTGGAAATGTGCTGCGCTGCGGGGGCATTGCTTGGCTAGCCAGATGAGACGAACCACCGTCACGCCGATTTGCATTCGTCGGTGGCGTGCCTTGTTGCGCGTGGCGCTCCGTGCACCCAGTCATGTCTGCCGGTTCCATGCGTGCCTTGAGCTGTGCACAGAGAAACATATTCTGACGCGATCCCACATCATGACCATCTTGCACTGCGATGTGCAGGGGGTCCTTCAACCAGCGCTTCATCATTTCCAAGCCAATCAGCTTCTGGACGACATGAACCGACTGCAATGTCGCGTACCAGAGGCCATTCTCACCAAGAACTTCAAGGTCTTACAGTTCCTTGGAAAAGGAAGCTATGGATCAGTGTAAGAATGTGTCCTGAGGCATCCCTCATGCTTGAAATCGCTTGTTGCTCTGTTTGTTGTCCTTCAATGGGCCTTCGATTGTTTCTGCGCTTTCAGAGGAGCATGGAGTAGGTAGCAAACTGAGGTGCACAACTGTGAATCACACAGTTGGGAGCAAAATGTTCAATATCAGGTTCTTGATATGTTCTGGTGTCAATTTCAATCCCCCCGTTATTGCACGTGACACAGATTTCGATCAATCTACTCGCAACCCGGAATCCGGGTTTCGTGAGTGTGGCGCCACAGCTGTGTCTCCTGGCTTTTGGTGTGTTACCACAATGTTGCAAGTTAACGATTCAAGAAAATCCAGCATTGCACCAGGCATTCCTGGCCCTGGCTGAGCAGTGTCAACGATGCAGCATTGCATTGCATAAATAACAAAGTAAATCAATTTGTTTGCATGCAGTCTACTCTTATAATGTTTCATTTATATGTGTTTGGACACGTTATACATTGTTGTGTGCAGAGCGACATTTCAGCGAGTATAGTCGTGCAATTGTCTGTAAAGAAAAAAAGTGTCCCTCCCATTGGCGATCATTGCTTTGGCACATTTCATCCAATTTCGGAGCAACTTCGCAATGCACGCATCTCACACAAGGTAATTGTCTGCGCCAACATTATCTATTGAACAGAGTGTTACCCGGGACAGTCGCATGAGAATCTTGCATGGAGCGCGTGCAACCTCTTGCATTATTTGTAAAGTGCACATTCACGCGGCCAATGGTGGAATGCTCCAGCGGCGCCACGAATTCAGCGGCTTGTTTTGGCGAATATAACGCAAGCGAAGACCCAAGGCGCTGTGACACGTTATTTCGAGAAAATGTTGACGCCCCTGCGTGCTTCCCTCAGTTTTCGGGTACAGCGCCTCAAGGACAAAAAGACGTATGCGATCAAGGAGATGGACGTCCGAGGCATGGGGCCCTCGGAGAAGGCGTTCTTGCTGAACGAGGTGCGCCTGTTGGCTTCAATCCGGCACTTGAACGTCGTCAGCTATTACGAGGCCTTCGTGGAGGGGAACCGACTGTGCATTGTGATGGAGAACGCTGAAGGTGGAGATCTTTCTTCGGTAATAAAGTAAGATCAGAGGCGGAACGGTTCGAGGGAACGGATCCGCGGTGATCGGTTGCTTGGTGCATCCACACGATGGTGTGGCCGTGTAAAGGAACCCGAAATGAACCGGGAACTTTCTGTTTTTGTCCTGAAGAGCCTAGGCACCGGATGCCTAGGATTGGTGGAGAGCATCTGAGATGCGGCAGTCCCGCAGGAAAGATGTGGATTCTGCAAAACTGTGTTGGTGCACAGAGCTGCAGGGGTCCCATGATAATTCATTTTGTACCTTGAAATCCGCACCGTGGCTGCCTGTTGCAACAATATGTATTGTTTGTAAATTCATGTACGATTTATTGTATTTGAATTTCTAACACAGCCATTTGGCCAATCTCCCTCTGTTTATTGCGGCTGCCGTTTACGCTCCGATGCGGATATCTTTTCGGGGAATCTTGCAACGAGCATGCTATTGGGGGTACGGGGTAAATGACCCCACCTAAGGTGCACCATACCGCAGGTCAGACAGGTGTGTGAGGTTGTGTCGTTTGATTGCCGCGCAGGAAGTACCGTCTTGCGCGGAGGTTCCTCAAGGAGGACTTAATTTGGAGATTTTTCATCCAGGTGGCGCAGGGTCTTCACGCGCTGCATTCCTTGAAGATAATACACAGGGACGTCAAGCCCGGGAACATACTACTGGCGGGGAATGAAGTATTGAAAATCGGCGATCTGGGCATCGCTAAATTCCTGAAGAATTCCATGGCAATGACGCAGATTGGGGTGAGGCCACAGCACCATGATATTGCTGATGCGCTGGCCAACTTATCAATATTGCTGAAACTCAGTATCTGAGAGGAAGACGCCCGTCCTTATTCAGCTCTTATTCCCAACTTGGGAAGATCGATGCCATGTAAACAGCCGTCCCGATGGCTAGAGTTTTGACTATGAAAATACCAGGAAGCACCCTGGTGGCAGCCATTTTGGGCGCCCTGCAATGAGGCCTTGTTTTTGACTCACAGCGTGTTGTGCGCTCTCACAGACTCCGATTTACATGGCTCCAGAGATCTGGAGGAAACAGAGGTACTCTTACACGACAGACACCTGGGCGCTGGGCTGCATCCTGTACGAGATGGCCACACTGAACGTCCCATTCAACGGAAGGAGCATGACGGACCTCAAGAATAGCGTCCTGCGAGGCAGGTAAACGCCATGCAAGCGTGGCCGCTGTCGCAGGAGAGGCGCTGGCGCAAACGTCTTCGCATGCCTCAACGGAGAGTGCAGAGCGTCCCATGGGGGGCTTTCAAGTAGCTCACGTCAGACACCCCGTTGCTCAGGCAACGATAGCTTTGTCTCAAAATGTGTTTGTCAAATGCTGCGAGCAGCACTGCGACCTCCGCGAGCATTGGCACTGAATGCCTTCAGGCGGTCGTAACTCTCGCTTGGTACCTTTTGACAGAAGACACACAAAGCCAATGTCAGGCAATAGAAAATGTACCTAAGACATTATACCTGGAGCGGCGCTACCCTGCATGTATCGCTGCGCTCGATGCAGTGGTAGAGCATTGGACGATTGCACTTCGGCTGTATGCAAAAGGGTGGCCATTGCCCAGAATGGTGACTCCAATGCACGGCAATATCTGTCGGTTGCACAGCATTGGTTTGAGCTGCGAGCGCTTTGAGTTCAGCCCAATTTTCCTTCTTCCTGTGCAGGTACACGCCCATAGCCGCACAGTACACCACTGACCTTACCCAAATGGTGAGGCAGTGCCTGTCGCTGAAACCCGACGCCAGGCCCTCAATGGGAAAGATCCTGCAGACTGATGCAGTCGTCAAGCGGATGCACTTGCTGCCGGAGAGCGCAAGCCGTCCCAGCACAGCTTACGGCAGCAGCGTACTTGACACGATCAAGCTGCCCAGAAACCAGCAGCTGCGGGACGCGAAGCTTCCACCAGCAATGTACGCCATTGATTTGGGTAGGTTGGAGCCCGCGGCAGCAGAGAAAGGAATGAATCGTGGCCTTTGCCCCCGGGCAATCCAGTGGGCCTGTTCAACTTCCAATGCAGTCGCCACAACCGGGCAGCCGGACAAGTGTTTGCTCGGCATTAGACATGTTGCATCCCAGTACCGTGTCTATGGCGCATCACACCCAATCTCAGCTTCACAGTTTTGTTCAGAGTATTGCAACCAGTGACAACACCTCAGGCGTCCATAGGTCTCCGCGGGTCTTCCACTCCACGGAAGGACTGAGTGTGTGCTTCTTTGCGCTGCCTCGAGATGTCAGATGGGGATGGGGATGAATCACCTGGAATATCCTTGCCCCAGGAGTCGATGCCTAAACAAGCAACACCGCTTGAAGCCGTTGACAAGCAGCCAGAGCAGGGCGCCAAGGCTGCACTGGTGGCCCATTCACGAGGCGACCGCATGAAGGACAGGTGGCCCGCCCTGCCAGTGATGCATTCATGGATGATATGCACAGATGAGGGCGGCGAAATTTGATTGCATTCCTCGCATTCAGCAAGGAAGGGCTATCTGTATGGTGCATCCACTGGCTTTTGTGCATGGAAGACACTAAGTGAGCAAATGCCACAGAAACTGCCCTTGCGATGCAGACCACTTATGCATCTGACAATTAATGCCGCACATGGAAGGAGGGCAGCTTTGTGTGCCATGCGTCAGCAGATGTGCGTCACCAGCTTCCTGGGCCTGGTTTCCATTAGGCTTTTGGCACGCAATCTGCACGGACAAAAATCATGCACCATTCGTAATGTGCAAGCATGCTCGCCACTACTCGATGAGCGCATCGCATGATGAAATACAACCATCGTGTGTGTCCACAGGCCCATTTTCGCTCTGCCTGCCAAAACACCACTCCGAGAGGACATGGCGCCCCTTCACCAGGGTCCTTCGAAACCCAAACAAGCCCCAGCAAAGCTGCCCCCCCTTGGCCGCAGGCCATCCGAGTTCAACCGTGCGCCACCACGACCGCCCAGCCGCAGATTGCCCCCGTTGGCCGCCCCACGACCTAGGCCGCCACTCCCACCGCCAGTGAACCGACAGCAGGGCCCCATGCCGATGGGCCACCTGCCGCACCTGCCAGGTCCATCCCGAGGGCACACCCCTGGGCGCAACGCACAGGGAGGGAAACAAAAGTGGGCTAAGGATTACAGGTCTCCATACGCCCAGGAAAAGCCAGCGAGCAGGGCAGCAAGTGAGCAAGGTGCAGATACCCCAAGCCACCAGCCAAAGGCAGGCACGCCCAAGCAAGATGAGCCCCACGGTGGTGGGCGGGCCGATTGGCCTGTAGCTCGAATGCCTCCAAGCAGGGACCAGAAGTCCAGGGCACCTTGGAACTATGGGGCAGGGCAGCGAATGCCGATGCTCCTTCACAACCAGAAAAGAGCAGGGCAAGGTGTACAGGGTGTGGGTGCAGGGGGAATTGCTGCCAGGGCACGCTGGAGGTAGGGCGAACACTGTCAGAGCTGCTGGGAAATGTAAGTGTCCACAAACTGGATGTCAGCGTGGCCAGGACAGTGTGCTTTGCACGTTGGCATGCACATCCAGCACCTGATGTGACAACATGGAGAAGTGGCCAAATAAGGCAACTCTGTCAAATAACCCCCAGAGCTTGAATGTTGCTCATACAAACCAGAAGGAAAACGGGTTTCCTGGCTGTTCAAGGCATCCCAGAGCATGGGGGCCTATTGTTGCTTCTGCAAAGGACAGAACACCTGTCCATGGGTTTGCAAACAAGGAAAAACTACATTTCACAGGCACCACCAACAAAGGACGTGTAGAAGCAAGAGAGTCCGCAGCCAATCTGGGAGCAAATGCCCCCATTGTGTGTTGACTGGGGTCCATTGGCCCCTGACAACTTAAAAAAGTCTCCTTTTCTGATCCAATATGAATTAAAGCATTGCTCACCAATTCGGTGGCGTTACAGTGTACCAAGCAGGGTCCCCCATCCCTGCTTCTGTGGCAAAAGAACACCTCCTTATTCACAAGGAGAAGGGTGCACTGCATCGTTCATTTGCGATAGTCATGAATCCCCAGCACATCTCAGCAGCGACATTGTTCAGCTTAGTGCACCTCACCAGGCACCAAGTCTGTTTCCTTCAATCCAACACCCACAGCACTGCTTCAAAGTGGCCATTCGCTGCTGTGAAACCACCCCCAGTATGAGGCCCCTGGCCTACACGACACAGACATCATTCAAAAGTATCCCTCTCTATGGGGTCCCTGAAGCTCTACTCCTAAGCGCGAACGTCCACCTTTGAATTTTGTACAATGTGCTCTAACCACACTAAAAAGTGCCAAAACTACTGCCAGGCATGTCTTCCCTTGGATGATGCCACCTGCTGAAAATCTTCATGCCGGCATGCCCTGCTGCTGTAAACCCTCCTCACCTGGGCGGTGTCTGATCAAGTGTGGGCAGGGCATCGAGAGGCCTGAGAAACTTCAAGATTTCTCTGAACGAGGGCCTGTCAGCTGGATTGTGAGCCAGGCACTGGCTCATGAGGCGAGAGATTTTGGAGTCTGCATTGGGTGGTAGCTCGAGTCGCTGGCCATTGAACCCAACAGCACCAACAACCTGGCAATACACACCCTTCATAGTTTAGGACACAACTCAGCACGAACATAACATGGAAAACAATGAAGAGAGAGGGCTGGTGGTCTGCGCATTGTGACAGCAAGCCCAGCCGAAATGTGACTATCAGATGCAACATACAAGTAGCCCACTCGGTATCTCAGGCACAATTGACAACGTCTGTTGCTTCATGATACCCCACACAGTGGAATACACAAACTTGTTCAAGATTAACTTACTTTGTTGCTGCTTTCTGCAGCAGCACAGCAAACACACAAAGTGGGATAAGCTTGTGACACACTGCAAGTCAAGAATGGAACAGCCCAACTACCTGTCTGCTGTGTTCTGCAAAACGTGCAGGCATGACAGGGAAATATGAACAGGGTTTGTGTTGTCGGTCCACCGATGCACACACCAAAGGTACACAGCCAACAAAAAAGAAGAAGGATGGCCACTTCCCAAGCACATACCCACAACATGTCACATGGCCCAGTGAATTCACAGCCCAGTAGAACCCTATCACACATTACCAGCGGCGCCCTGTTCCACTTCAGATACCTGCACTGCATTTATCTCCTTCCATGGCTCCTTCCGAGTTACAAGCTCATACAAAATCACACCGAATGAATAGACATCGCAGCTCTCATTGGATGGCTCATTCCTCAAGACCTCCGGTGCCATCCACTCTGGAGTGCCTGCTCGTGACCATGGTGCCAAAGTACCTGCCTTCACTCGTGACAGTCCAAAGTCACAGACCTTAACCGTCCAGTCCTTGTCTACAAGAAGATTGGGGGATTTCAGATCGCGATGGATGATGGGCGGTTTGAAACTGTGCAGGTAGCACATCCCTGGAAGCAGACAATGGATGTCAAAACCATCGATCGCAGCTGGGGCAACAGCAAAAGGAAACGAAGTTAACTGCAAAGCCATCATTAGATGAGGAAGAATATGCCAGGTACCATATTTGATTTTGTGATAGCCACACATTGGGACACAAGGTTGCCATGTACGTACCAAGCACAACACTAAACCACACATGCCATATGCAACAACCCATCCCGAATTTGGATTCCCGCAGCAGCAGGCACACGCAAAAGAGTGACTCACTGAGCTATCAGGTCAACCTAAATGTATAAACCCCACACAATCTAGGACATTAACGCTGCGATGACTTGTGCCACTGCAGGCAGATTTGAATCTAGCACACAATTATGGAAATGCTGTGAAAACACTGGGGGTGACAGCAGCCTACCTTTGGCCACATCAACGGCCATTTTCAATCGGAGTCGCTCATCTATCACAGCATTTGACTTGTGCAAGAGCCTGAAGAGTGAACCCCTTGGAAGAAACTGTGTGACGATTGACAAATTAGGGGGCTCTGTCACAGCACCCATGAAGAGGAGAACGTTTGGGTGCCGCAGCCTCATCATGATGGCAATTTCCATGCGGAATTCCTGCACAAGTTGAAAGCAAAAATAACCCAGTTTCTTGCAAATACATTTTGCCGGAAAGCTGAAATTACATGACAACAGTTCGCTGCAACATCAGTGCGTCATTGACAAGGGCCTCCACTGCAATGCATGTGTGGGACAGGTGGTCTGCGCCAGTTCCAGGCAGCTGATCTTCTTCAACATTCCTGAAGAGTGCCCCAGATTTTGAGCTACCTTCATGTGCTGCTCTGTGAAGTCTTGTTCCAGGATTCGCTTCACTGCCACATCAGTTCCTCTCCAGTACCCCTTGTACACTTCCCCAAAGGATCCCATTCCAATCCGCCCCTCAAGTTCAAGCTCAGATGCCTTGATCTGCCAATCGCAACTGTCATTCTCGGCAGTGCCTGCATCAAGGACTGCATTTTTGATTGACGCCGTGGTCTGGCACAGCACACCGAGTAGACATGGCGTTAGGAATTGCCCACGCTGATAAAGTCAAGGTGACAGACGACAGATGAAAGATGGCACCAGCAAGCATGAACTAAGCTACAATGCCTGACGGCAAAGACCATAATTATAGCAATCATCGGGCCATTATGTACAATGATGGTCAAAGCTATGCTGTGAATTGTCTGTCCACACAAACAAAGTAGCTCACCTCCAAAAGGACATCCTGAATTGTGTCGCTTAGCTGCCTAATGCCCATCTTGCCCCGCCTCCTTGTACCATCATCGCCCTTTTCATTTTTGACACTGGATTGCCTCGGTATGTGCTTCACGCTGGGAGCTCTGCCGCCCTTGCTTGAGGGTGCACGTTCAAAATGGGCCATCGCTTTATTTGACGGGCCATGATCGAAGGGAGATTTTCCTGCAGGCCTTGATGACGGCACTCCATGATGATCAGGTGGACCAAATGGCGACTGGGAGAGGGGCTGCCCAAAAGCTGAACTGTTGGCCTGTCCCAATGTAGATTGGCTCTCTTGCCCAGAGGCTGACAGATTGGCATCTAAGACAGCAGGTTGGCTTGGCTCACCAAAGGGCGACTGGATCGCCTGCCCCAAAGCAGATCGGCCAGCACCTTCAAAAGGAGACTGGCCAGGCTGTCGGAAAGCAGATTGGCCAGCGTCCACAAAAGGGGATTGGGCAGTTTGACCAAATGCTGATTGACCAGCCTGGTCAAAGAGGGATTGGCCTATCTCTGCCTTGCCTCCTTGCTCTTGAGAGCTGGATTCAAATGGCGACGACAGGTCAGCCTCCACAGATGCACCAGGTTGAGCTGCACGATGGGTTGGCGAACCGTCACTGCTGTCTGGCAATGGTCCAAAGTCTTGTGAGGTCGAGACATAAGTTAATTGACCTGTTCACGGCACCAGCAGGGGACACACACAGCTAAGCAGGAGGTTGCAAAAGAAGCCAACAGCTGACACTTTCTGCTGTTCATGTGGAACAGACTGTTGGGATGGAAATCGTTGATGCATAGTTGTCCACAACAATAGGAGTATTGTCAGTTCACCAGAACAGGATAGCCATGGCCAAATAATGGCTACTTTTGGTGCAACACTTGTTCAAGCCCAGAACAAATCCAGAAGTTCTGTGTTCATCGAGAACGACAGCTGAAAGCACAGGACAATTGCAAACCAACTAAGAAGCAGCACAACCGCAAACCATGAACCAGAATTCTGCAACACCTAGCTACCAGTAGGAAATGTGCCAAGCACTACAAGATCCCTCCTGGTACATCAACAGCAAACCCTGCTGGTCATCGCCCAGTCTTACCACTTGATCTTATGGACATCTGTCGATCTGGGCCATCCCTTTCCCAAACGGAACCTGTTGAAAACGTCGAGCCTGCACGACCAATGCCAGTGGAGGGCAAACGGTTCATGCTCACTGTCCCAGCGCGAGGGAAAGCTGCCCTTGCTAAATAGTCCTTCCCATCTTGGCCAGATTGCATCAAAGACCGATCATCAAATGGGCAGGCAGCAAGGTCTGTGAAAGGCGATGGACCTGTCTGCTGGGCCGCAGGCATTGCTGGACAGTACAAATGTGCAGTGAGCAAAACATAAACTCACATTTAGGTGATATTACAGTGCACAGCACACATCTGCGGGACTTAGGTCAGTTCCCAGCCATGATATCTTACTTGCACTAGCAGCTGAATAAATTCAGCCCTCCATCTCTGGCCACCAGATTCAGATTGCGACAAATGGCTGGGACAGTGTGCACATGCCTGTGCAAATCTTTGAATACATTTGTCCAAAAGTGACAAGAACAGGCCTTGAACCTGCGTGGCATTGTCAGCCAGACGTCCAGAATACAATCGTCCACAAAAGAACACAAATGCCAAGGTCCAAAGTGCAACAGCTTGACAATGGAAAAAGTTCATCACTGAAAATCCTAACTCTATCACAGCTCAGTACACTGATGCTACTGTCCACTGATCAGCTGATTCAGATATTGACTCACCATGTTTTCCTGACTGCATTCTGTGCATTCTTGACCCTCCCTGGTGCATATCAGAATTTCTTCGATCCCTTTCTGGGGAGAAGCCTATTTCTCCATGGGCTCCCACAGAGAAATCCTGGTTCATTGTGATCGAGGGAGGATGGACATAAACATCCTGCTCCTGTCCATTGTGCTTCCCATGCGCCCTTGAGGGTTCTGTAACAGGGGAACACATAAATGATGTCCTCAAATCAACATCTCATTATTGACATGAGCTATGCATCAGGTTTCAGGTGACAAGGATTAGCCAACAACCTGGATACAAACTCTTGCATGTGCGACTCATGCAAGAAATCAAGATGGCAAAATGTGCATCGGGATCTCGGGTTTGCAGATTAGTCTGCCAAGGAATTAAAAGGCCCGTATACCACCCCCAGAATCCGAATCTCAGCCACAAAGCTGCAAAGGCTGCTCAGACATAAATTGGGCTCTCTTCCACTACTTTCCACTTCTTCCTACAGCTTTGAACTTCCGGATTTGTATTGTCTCGAACTTGCCTTCTTATCTGCAAGGGTGGCAAACTGAGATGCTTGCCTCCCGATTCTGAGGTCCTTGCGTTCACATGGGCAATCATCTGAAGCCAAACACCTGGCCAAAGCCTGCCTAACCAAAATAACACCATAACAAGGAACCACAAAAATACCTAGCATCAGACCAACTCAACCACATGCAGAACCTGCCACTCACTTGGCTGCCAGTATGGCTGCTGAGGCATCTCTGGGGCAGGTGCAAACACTTCACCCGACCCGGCAACTCCACTTGCAACATAGCCCCGCTCTCTCAGCAGGCGACCTGGGTGGCTGACAAGGTCCACCAGCAGGTTTTCCTGCCCAATTTGCACCACGTTCACAGCTTGGTTGGAGGAACCCCTGTAAGGGGCTCCCCTCACAAGCTTGCATCGGATGCCCAACGAGTCTGCCAGCACCTTCAAAGCAATCCAATCTCCAGCAGTCACAACTGAATCAAGGGGCAGTTTTAACAGCACTCAGTCTGACAGTTGGTGCCAGGCAGCATGGAAGTGTGCCAGATATTCTTGCCAGCAGATACATGCTATACAACAGAGCTCCAACCTGAGCACACGAATGCAGCTCTTCCACATACTGTAAAAGAAGGTGAAGACGCCAGTTCAAGCACCCAATCTTGCAGCAGGCAAGATACCAGCAACACACACAGAAGCTACAGAGGCTCCACACCAGCAACATATATAGAAGCCCTGGTTGACAATGTCACAGGCAAGAAGGTAGGCAGGCTATGGAGTTGTTCCCAATGAGCCATTCCAACATATCATGGGAGCGTGACAGTGCCAACTTCTTTAGTGCTGGAGGGCAACTGACGTCTTCTGCCATCTGTACTAGACAATGGAAATGTAGGGGGTGCACTGAGATTCTCCACAGTGAGATTATGTGCCATACCCTTGTACCCTCCACATCGGGCACTCAGGTAACCACACCAAAAAAATACACTCCAGAATGTGGTCACACATGTTACCATTAATGGGGGGTGCAGCATCTGGATTCATGGTTTGCATAGCAGACCCGACAGAACCACCAGCTCTAACCATACTTTAGGGCACAACAGCACACAGCGGCACAAATTCTGACAGCGTAGTAAGAGGGGTCAACAGTGGATGTGCAGAAGGTGAAGCAGCAAACTCAAAGCTGCCAATGATGCCAGGTGGTGCATTGTCTATCTTGCTTACATCAGCAAACAGCAACTATGCAGTTACTCAGGTGACACGCATCTACCCACTGGTCGCAGATGCTGGTTCAAATTTTTTTCTTTGCAAGCCTTGGATGTCTTTCATGAGCAATAGACACTTGTGTTGTTCCATCTGTTACACTTCCTTCCAATGCCTCAGTTGCGCAGTGGTGGCCAAATTCAAGGTATTGGACTCCAAGTTCAAAGTGCATATGCATCTACTACCAAGGGAGACCCAGCATCTCTTTGTGATCGCTCTCCTTGTCATTCAACTTTCAGCAAAACTAATGCCTCAAATTTGAACAGTATCTGTTGCATTCTAAATGAAGCAACCCAAAGTCAAGGCACACAAGGGATCATCAACTCGTCGACAAACCAAACAGCACAATCTGCTCAAATCATACGCATCAGAGTGCAAGGTAGCCTACCTTGTACAACAGCGCTCGGTGACGGGACAACCCAGTCCTGAGCTTCCCTATAGGTATAACAGCCGATTTATATTTCCTCTTCAGCCGTTGACTGTTCTTCTGCCATTTACGGACTAGTTGCTTCTCATTCGACTGGGGCCCACCCATCTGATCGACCACGATTATTGCCAGCGCCTGAGAAGACCAAAACCATGATGGAGCAGCCAACTGTGTTGTTAGACAAACATCAAATGGTGCCATAACTACCACACAGCACTTTGCTCCAAAACATGTGTGCGCTTTCAAGCTGCCTGGTGACTGTGAGATGTCAGCATCCACATCACCCCTTGTTACAGAGCAAGCTGCACCAGTCGACACCATATTGGGTAAGGATCAGAAAATGCACCAATAGCAATACTGCAGAAGGAAGAAGGCCAAGGAAGGCTCACCTGCACCATTGCAATAGCGCCCTGATCTTTTACGCGCAACTTGGCCTCAACAGCTGCCCTCTCTATCTCCACAAGTACAGAGTCTTTGTCATGATGAACGAGAACAACCTGGAACATCAGGACAGGGTCAATGTTCACAGTCACCCGAGGGATATTCCTCACCAGATGGCAACTTCTCTACTTTCAGCACTCACTATAACCTGCAAGCACTAGTCCCTGCAGAGGTGCAATGTATAGATCACACAAAGAAACCAACATGCATTGGAGGGGCAACAAGCACTTGCCATACCTGTGCTGCAATACCAGAAACAACTGAACATCCCTTATCACCAGTATGTTAGCTCTGTAGAGTGAACGCACACAGAAAAATATTCCAAAAGAGCAAACTGAAAGCAATACACACCACCAAAATGCCAGCACCAGTTTGCACATGGCAGGTACACAAAAAAATTCAATGAGCCAAAGCATCCATGGCTGACATTCTGTTGTGGCATCTGTATTGCCATTGGTGGTCCCTCACCTCCCGCAAGTCCCCTTCAGGCAACTGAAGCTTCTTCAAGCCCCTCAAAGGAGGAAACTGGGAAATTCCACCATTTGATGTGCTAGGAACCACCTCGGGGAAGTCACCCCAGCAGTCATAAAAGCCATCCACCAGGCGATCCTCATAACCCACGCTGCAGAGGCCAAACACCATAAGACCCAAACCAGTGTCCAGTACACAACCTCCCTTTCTGAGTAGTGCTGACTCGCAAAAGTGCACTCACAACATATGTATTGCGTTCCAGGTGGGTGAGGTGGGGTACAAAAGAGGACGAGTCAAGTCTTCTGAGAAGATTGCTCTGACAGAGGCAGTGCCAAGCAAAGATCATTCCTCTAAAGCGGATGTGTTTCTGAGGCTCGTTTCCAACTACACCAGCACTGCAGATGGCTCTGAGTGCCACAGTGCTGCCAGAGAAGCAACAAGAGCAACAAGATACCATCCATGCAAGACGCCCATGCATGCAAGCCATGCGTGTCGGTAGGGAGACAACGTCGGCAATTCTGACATGGAGATGGCAAGGCCATTCATGTCCATTGCATCATGGGGGCGCACTCTCTATGTCTGCAACCATGCCAAGCGCATATGCCATTCACCCTCATGAACGTAAAATGCGTGTGTCGGCAGTGCGTTTCGATCGCTGCTCTCAGCTGGTGAACCACTTTACTCAACGGCGTCAAAACCTGCGGGCACCGGCCAAGCACCACGCAGGCACCCGGGCACCACGATATCCCATAGCGCACAGCGGAGCGACCGCGTCGACTATGCTTGCGCCATTTCGGCCAGAGCCTGGCGCCCTGCGCGGCGCGGCACGCGCGGCGCGCCCCGCATCGACCCCTCCGCGCCCCCCAGCCCCTTGCGCCCGCGGCACCTTCCCATTCCCGCCATGCTCCGCGCTGCCGCCCGGCGTGCCCATCCCGCGTCGCTCCAAACGCGTCCGCCCAGCGCCGCGCCAGATCTCCCCACGCACACGGCACAATCTCCTTGCTCCCCCGCTCCCCCCAGCTCCGCCCCAACGCCACTTGCTCCCTTCCGCAAGACCCTCGGCCCCGCCAACAAACCTGCTCACCGACGCCCTCCTCCCCTTCCCGCGCCCCAGGGCTCGCGCCGCACCTCTGCTGGTAGTAATACTTGGCTGACAGGCTCTCCGCCGTCTCACGCACGCTGGTGAAGGACGACGACTCCACGGCCGACCGGTCGGTGGCCTCAGACTCGCTGATGGCGATCGCCATCTGCAGCTCCTCCGCCTCCTCCGGGTCCAGCCCCGCCGTCTCGGACATGTACAGCGACCCCGCGTCCAGCGACCGGCCCGTCCAGCGCCCGCTCTCCGACCTCTTCCGCCCGAACCAGCCCCATTTCGGCATCTGCGCTCATCCGAGCACCGCGGGGGCGGCGCCGAATTCACCTATCCACTCCCCCGCTCTGCGTCCAGGCGCCGTATTCCAGCACGAAGAGATGAGCCTAGAAGACGGCGGCTCAGCGGCGGGGATGCCCCAGGGCCGTGGCGAGCATGCGCGCCAAAGGTGGCCGCCTGGTTCGCCGGAGAGCGGCCGACAAAGAGCTGATTCGCGGGAGGAGGACCGTGGGGGGGGGGGGGGGCGAGGGGGGGTTGGCCAGGGGTCGAGAGGCGGGGCAGACGCGCGGCGCGATGCGTAGGGGTGTTGTGGGCAGGCCGTTTGATGGGGGCGGGGGCTGGTGGGGAGGGGCATGGGCGCTGTACATTCGGCGCAGGCAGGCGGCGAGGCGGGCATCAGGGGACTGAGCGCCCTCCAGGACGGACCCGGAGGGGTGGGTTGAAGGTGCCATCATGCAGTTCCCGCCAAACGGGCGGGCCCCAAGGGATGAAAATTCGATGTCGTTCGCTTCCAGAATGCCAGCTGGCCGATGCCCAGCACCGCTCTCTGGAGTGGTCGCGGGAAGCCCGGGTTCAACGCTGGATTGCTGGTCAGACGGCGTCCACAAGCTGGCACACCTGCGCTGCAAACGAGCCTCCTGCGTGCAAGTCTTACATGTTTGTCACTCGGGCTTGCATACTTGTTCGTTCGAGCGAACTTTCCAACACAAACGTCATGGCCAAAGGCGGCGGCCAACCCCAAGTACTTCGCATGAATACACTGGCCTCAAGCCCGCTATTTAGGACTATATGAGACAAAGATGGGGCGCCTGTGGGCCTGCTCTTCTGTGGGCGACGACTTGCATAGGGTTGTGCGCAAGTTTAATCAGGATTTATTTTGGAGTTCAGTCGGCTCGAGGCGTAGCTCCATCGCTTTCATCTGCGCAGCGATGGCCGCTGCCAGTGGTGCGACGCTCTGGTGCGCGACTATGAGGAACATAAGTACAAAAGACCACAAGTATTGTGGGGGTCCCATGAGAAAGGCTCCAGCTTCGTGCACTCCTTGCTCTAGTGTACAGATGATTGTGCCTTTGGGGAAGCGGTGCGGAATCGAAACCAAAGCCCAGCCCTGGGTTGGCGGCAAGTATCAGGCTTTGGGAAATGGAAACAAAGAGAATCGGCGACATCTTCGTCCGAGCGAAGCGAGGCGAAAGGCATGCAAGGGAAAGTTGTCATTGAAGTAGTTGACGTGTTGCCAGTGTATTAGCAGCTGGGTGGCAAATGTGTAGCAATGTCACAGCTGTTCATTAGGGTTTACTCACCCTGAATGGTGAGCGTATTAAGCCGGTTCATGCTCCTATCTGCTCACGCGTGTGCCCGTGCGTTCATTCAGCTCCCATGGTCACCCGCACACCTTTCATCTCCCCCGCAGACTTCCCCCTTCTACAACGGCGCCTTTGCCAGCCGTCCTAGCTATCACAAAGTTTTTCTCCAATCCCTGTTGTGCCAAAACAATTACAATTAGTCCCCTAGCCTAGCAAACCCCTTCCTGTTAGTACTTAAGGATCAGGCTGCCCTCACAACAGAGAGAACCCACCGTGGGAAAGGCGTTTCAGATCTGATTGCAAGGGTCCCAATGCATGTACGAGTATCGCCCAACCAGTAAAACGCCGTGTTCCTTGATGCCCATCCTTTTTTTGCTGGCACCGCACAGGTTCGAAATCGGTGAAGCACCCAGGGCAGGGAAGGACACGTTTGTCCCGGATGTTTAATGTCTCCAGAATCAGGGAACAACAATTGATTCTGGACCCACAAGCGCTCTTCATTGTCTTCTTTCCACCTACCAAGGTGCCCTGGGGAAAACACGCAGTTGGATGACTTTGACGCCCGGGATGTGCTGAATCATCGCCAAGCTCCCCAGAGCCTCAGTCTGATCCTCCTAATTCTCCGAGTGGGCTTGCCCAGGCCATCCCATGCAGCGAGCTACCTGCCTGTCACGCAAACCCTCACAAGTTGAGTCATGATCGATCCCCCGGGCTGGGTGACCCAGCAGATCGTCTGGGGTTCTTCAGCACGAAGACTTGGCGAGCAAGATATTCTCCACCTGTGCGACCCTCCAACCGCAAACAGCAGTCATCGTGTAGTCAGAAACGACCAGAGCAGCGAGCAGCACACAGCCGCCCGAATGGCGGTGGGCAGTTGGAACCTCCCAGTCACGATCAGTCGGATCATGACGCACCTTGGCGGCCACAGTCCAAGCAAAAACCCACGCCGCATGTAGTCCGCTTCGACTCCCCCCCCCCTCCCAACGCCACCCGGTCCCCGCGCTCCCTGTTCGCCCTGCCCGTGGCACCAATGCCGCGCCCAAGGGCTGTTTGAAACGCGGCGGAGCTACCTAGTTTCGCTTCCATTGGCGCCCCTTCGAGCTCGGAGGCACCCCCGTTGCAAGGAACGAATCCACCGGGCCGCGGGGCAATGGATGGCGTCCAGGTGTACCCATCCGAGCTCAAATTTCCGTTCGAGCTCGGCAAGGAGCTAACGACGACGATGACGCTGCACAACTCCGGGAACCGGCGCCTGGCGTTTAAGGTGCTGACCACCAATCCCGACAAGTACTGCGTGAGGCCGTGCATGGGCGTCCTGGAGCCGCGCGCCTCGCTGGAGGCCGTGGTGGCGATGCAGGCGTACACGGAGGTACCCCGCGACCTGCACGACTGCGAAGACAGGTTCCTGGTGCAGAGCAGGGCGGCGACTGGGGACGAGTGGGAGGTCACGGAGAAGACGTTCCCGGCGAGCTGGAGCGGCGAGCTTAGGGAGACGCGCCTGCCGGTGTGGCTGGAGCTGCCGGATGAAGACAATCCCAGTCTGATGAGCCTGGCGATGGAGGCGGCGGGATCGGCAAACGACGAGATCGGCAAAATGTTCGACGAAGATCTGGATAGTGAGGACGGGGATGATGAGGACGGCGATGAATTGGTGAAGACGGGGGAGGAGTTGAAGCGATTCTTCGCTGCGAACGAGGAGTTCGCATCGGTGGCGAAGGACGTGCTGATGGAGCACCTGGACAAGATTATGAAGGAGAGGGAAGCGCTCAAGAAGCAGGTGGTGGTGTTGTCGCCGCGCGGCGGGTGGGTGGCGTCGAGGGTGCTGCGCGCGGGCCCCAGGCGCTGGTGGGAGCTTGGGGTGGGCTGGCCAGCAGTGCTGGCGGTGGTGGGGTCCTTTCTGCTGGGGAGGTTGACAGCATGAGGCCCTCGCATCGCATCCCCTGAAAGAGCGGGCGATGTGTGTACGAATAGGAGAGGAAACAATGCATCCGTGTCTGAAGTCCCGAGGAGGAAAAGGGGGAGTTGGCCCCTGGAGGAACGTGTATGGGGAATGTGTAGGTCACTAATGAAACTAGCACGCTGGGAATTGGGCTTTGAATCTCCTGTACGTCCATTTTGAAACTTTGGGAGATATAGCCAGATGGTTTGCTCTTTCAACGGGAGCCATGTGGAAATGGCCTTGGAGCAATGCTTGCAGTTTGATACTGTGGGTTAGCGCCATGGCACGCAGTGATGGGCAAAGATTGAAACGCATGGAGATGAATAGGGTACGCTTCTGATTTCATTGAATTTTACGGGATTCTACTTGCCTGACTTGGATGGACTGGATCAATCTGAGTTTGACTTGGATCTTTATGCTGCCTGTCAAGGACATCCATGGCAGAATGGGTGCAAGTGCTGCTACAGGTTGCCTGTGCTATCAGATGCCTGGGCATGGTGAAAGTTATGGCGCTTCAAAAGGGACTAACTATTGGCGGTGTACGAGTGTATCAGTAGGATTGGGTTGGCTTGTGGTCGGGGAGTACCAGATGTGATGTCCCTTCCCAGAATGGAAACTATTGCAGACGAGCTTGGCATAGTGGGCGAATTGTGGGTCAGAGGCACTGACAACGGCATGGGATAGGTTCACTGGGCATCAGCTGCCCAGAACGGCTGAAAACAGTGTTCTTGGATGGTGCCACATGGCGATTTGACTCGAGATGTGGACTAGATTGACGAGACTGATGATGGCTGGCAGGAGAGCTTGTCGTTGTGTCTGGTTATGGAGGTTTTTTGGAATGTGTACCAGGCACTTGTGTGACCTGAGAGCCATCTGGTCAATCAACAATAATTCGCTGTTTTGATAGGTCCCTATTCCATTTGAAGGGATTGTAAGTGCTGTTGGTTGGTGGCTAAAGATCTCGAGTCTGGTCAGATTTGGCAACCTTGCCCTGAGGTAGGCACAGAGATGGTACCTGTTGTGTCGTTTTCATCTGCCTGTGCCTGGTTATGGATTCGCACAACCGCACATGTTGGCCAGATCGTACTGCGGACGACGGAACGGTCCATGGTGCTAGATTTGTAGTCACAGGCAAGCCTCATCGAGGAACTGTCTGCTGAAGTATGTTGGGGCAACACGCACATTGTTAACGGGCAGGTTGTTGTTTATCGCATGTGCCCCACAGTGCCCTCCATTGGTGACACCTTTGGTTCGGGTGGCTGAGCCGCCATGCTTCACATGGGCCACCTGAAAAATGTTCAATGGAAACCAAGCAGCACTGCTTTGGCAGTGGTTGAGTGAGTGCCAGACAATGCAGACGAGGCAACCGCCCCATGCCACACACTGCATCGAAACCAGCGCCTTTTCTTCATTTACACAATTGCGTGGCAGTCCCAAGAGCATGCGGTTCTCAGCCACGAGCTCGTGCCTTCCATTAGAAACCTAAACCATGGTAGTTCAAGGCCAATAGAGAAACACTCGCAGATTATCACCCGTTTCCGTCGTGCTTCTTCCTTTCTTCCAAGTGAGGAAATTTGGGTTTCGTGGGCCGCTCCAGCCTCGAGAAAGGGTTGAGATCCCTTCCTGTGAAGGGCACTCTTGGCCTGTCAAATTTTGGCCTGTACATTGCCGCCAGAACTTCGTCGCTATCGCCTCGTACGACGAGGTCCCTGCCGAACCGCTTCGTCACCAGCCCAATCTTTTTCAAGCCCAGCTTCTTGCCAAGCGACAGCGCACAGGACTGGCGCAGGATGTCGAACAGCAGCGACAGGCAGTGGTAATTGTCGGCGAAGGTGTAGTACGACATGAACATCCTGGCGGTGACGTCGTAGAACTTGACGATTTCATGGACTTCCCAATTCACCACCCGCCCGCAGTAAGTGGGCTTCTTCTTGGTCTTATGCGTGAAGCCGTGCTCTTCCAGCCTGGCCAGCAAGTAACGAGCAGGGATGCACACGCGCGGCAGCAGGGGCAACTTCCCGGCCTCCCTGCTTCCGGGGTCAGAACCGGGGGGGCTTATCTGCTGCGCGACATAAATCTCTGCCCCAAGAAAACTGACGGATTCTTTGTCAGGCGTCGAAGCGGGGGCCATCACAAACGAAGAGTTCTTGGGCTCCAACCGCAGTTCTGATTTGAGGAATTTTCGCAGGTCGTGCTCCAAGAGCTGGCAATCCCTCTTGGAGCCGTTGACGCCAATGAGGAAGTTTGCTCCGTATCGCACGTAGTGAATGCTGATGAGAGACTGTTCGTGCCAGCATTCTGCGAACCTCACCAGCTCTGATACCCATCTCTCTCGGGTTATGACTGCACTATAGCTGTCATCAGATCCTGGGTTTATCCTGCCCACATCCAGCACTCGCATCAAGTCCTCCATCCATTTGTCCAGCCTTTGCAGGTAAATGTTGCACAAAATTGGGCTGATGATAGAAACCTGGGGCATGCCGATGGACCCGTAGTTCACACCTTTCAATTTGGCAATGCCTGCACGATGAGCACAGTCCAGCAACTTCAAAAACCGCTCATCCCCCACTCTCTCGCCCACCGCTTGCAACAGCACAGTCATGTCAAAATTGCCCAGGCTCCCTGTCAAATCAACTTCCAGAAAGTACTTCACATCGCCGAAATCGTCCTTCACCTGCTTCAATGCACTGTGGCAACTCCGGCCAGGCCTGAAACCATGCACACACTGCGGGAACCCCGACTCGAAAACAGCCTCCAGGACCATTCGCATGGCCTCTGGAACGGTTTTGTGCCACCACAGAGGTACCAGCCGTGCTCCTCCACCTTTGTGCGTTTGCCGAGGTTCAAGCTGGATCAGTGCAGGAAAGGTGTAGGATTCCTGAAGTAACTTCTCGCTCACATGAGGCAGCCAGTCCTTTGCAAACACCTCTAACTGTTCCTGTGCTGCTTGGAAACTGCCATGTCTGGTGTACATGGTCAAGAAAGCACTCTCTAGAACGTCTCTGTCAGCAACACAAGGTAAAATATCGTAGTTGACAAGCCTTTGATTGTCTATATTCTTCACCCTTATATCTTTCAAGATGGGAGCACTTGGAAAAGGGTGGATTCTCTGCTGCTTCTGCCACAAGTGATATGACAGCCCAGGAGGATTGAAATAACTACTCTTCTGCTCTCTGTCACGTTGAGTGCCATGGCTTCTTTTGTTGTGTGAGTACAACGCCTCCCCTGCACTGCTGTTCCTCATATCCAGTGAGAGTTCATCCACCAGTTCCTCCAATTCTTGATCTTCAAACAGCATTTCACCAGCACCACCTTCAGGGCCATGTCTTCTAGACTTGTGTCTCCTTGGATCGATTCTGCTTGGGGGATCCATTGGATCTTTTAGCTGCTTCGCCCAGGCATGCCCACCCATGACTTCCATACCTTCTGAGACTGCCATGTGCACATTCTCAGAATCATGGTCTCTCCTCCTCGCTTTGGGTTTGGGCTGCAACCTCAAGGGATACCTGTCTGCCCGCCTCTTTGGTCTACGTTCCCCAATCTTGTCCCTTGTGTTGGCAGACTTGTCTTTAGAGTTCTGCAGTTGCAAAGCAAACCTTGACCAATCCTCCTGGCGGCTGGTGTCCTCCTCCATCTTCAAGTCTGAAGAACCCTTGTAGCTGCTCCATAGTGCAAGGTGCTACATGCACACAGTCATGTTGGAGTAAGTTAAAAAGGAACCCACACTTTTGTACCAGGACTGCAGTCAAATCCAGTTGCCAAAATCGATCGTCAGACGATAGAACTAGCCATCTGCACAGAGATAAGCCAGCTTGACCAGTCTGAATTACTCCGATCCATCCCAGCTATCGCCTTTACCTGAGCCACCTAAACGGCTGCCAATCAACGTCAAAGCAGAAATGCTAGTAGTGCTGGGAATAGATGACCACGGATACTCATCATTGCGCAATTTGGTTGGGTCCCAATTCCCCTGCAGTGTTGCCGGCTCATTGTGACGTCACGTAGATGCCACAGAAGCAGCCAGTAGCGAATGTATCCTGGTTCAGCGCGAATGCGGAGTTGCCGATGACCAGTGCCGTACAATCAGTACCTGGCGTCTGCTCCCATGCAGCCCCCAAAGGCAACAGATGCCTGTTTCCAGGCTCCCACGCCACGGCGGCCCCACGTCCAGCACGCTCTTCCAGCCCACCCTGCGCAAGGCTTCCTGAGCCTGGCGCCATGCACAGCAGTGCATGAGGACTGCGGTGGCCTGAGGTAGGCGACTGCAAGAATTCCTCCCTTCCCGCGTTGCCTTTTCACTGGAATGGTTGATTGATTCATTTACGAAGGGCACCATCCATTTTGGCCCACATTGCGATTTTCCTGCTTCCGCGTTTTGGGCTGTGGTTCGGGCAGTGATGACCTGTCCAGGAACGGCCTCCCTTGGCCCTTCCCGTCACCATTGTTGCAGAGTATGGCGTGCCCCGGAGCCGTTCAAGGCCTGCACCGCGAAATCAGCAAAGTTGGGACGCGGCCATCGGCGAGCTGCCGAGAGAACCGCCCACACAGAGAGAATCACGATCAATGTGACGCCGCTTACTCCAGAGACTTTTCGGCCTTTCGGTCAGGCAAGAATAATCCTCCAGCCGCTGAACCCAAGCCAGTGTTTGAGGCAGTGATTCCCATTAATGCTATCTTGGGGATGTGGATGGACATGGTCGTTTTTTCTGCAATGCTCGTGTGCTACGCCTCGTGCGTTTTCTCCTTCATAGCCTCCGTGTAAAGATGATCCGCAGTGATTGATAAACTTATCCGATTGGCAGGTAATTGAGGCCACCGACGATGGCAAACAGTTCGATGAAGCCGATGCTCAGCTGGTTCTAGACAAAGGGACACCGAGGTGAAACGCACACGCCCAGATCGGACAAGGTGGAGGGTGTCCGTTGTCCAAATCAGCCACACGCGTACTGATGGAGGAGTGCTCAGTTGTTGTGGTCAACAAT